TAGTACGTCGACAGCGAGGGTTCGCGGCTCCTATTAGTAGTGCTTGTATTATTGTAGTCGTGGCTCCGGGGCTCGATTTCGCGGGCTTCCAGCTCCATGCGCTGCAGGTCCTCCTGCATGTTCTGCGGCACCTGAGGGGTCACCCTAATCGCCTCGAAAGGATCAAGAGAACGTCAGCAGCAGCCCCACCTCGACTGGCTCAACGGCTCCATTCAGCCTCATCCAGGCGAAATGGCAGAGGGCAATAAATAGGAGGGACCGCCGACAAAAAGCGGACAGGGACAAGGAGGGAGGGGGGGCTTAGGGGAGCAGGGATAAGGTATGGAATAATAACAGCAGCAGAAGAGAACAGAGATGCTGGGCTGGACTGGATATCTTACCGTTGGGGCGACGGTGCCACGACCTCGGGCATAAAATAGTCATCGTCGCTGCCGGGCACGAAGGTGGCGCCGAGTTTGGACATGGCTGCGAAGACTCTCTCGCTCTCTCTGCACGAGGAGGAGGAGTGAGAGCTTCTCTTTCTGTGAGTGTGTGCCTACTTGGACGGGCTGGAATCCCAGATGCCCTCTCAACAAGCGGCGTCTGCACTGCCCTGCGTGAGAAGAGCGGGATTCGGGGCCTCGAACCCTGGTAACCAACGGATAGTCGGGTGCGGTGTTCAGACGTATGTCGAGCGGCTGCCGTTGCTTGTATAAGATCGTGCGCTTCAAGCAGCTGCAGTACTTTGCAGGTATCGATGCGTTAGGCGGGCGGCCTGGAATTATGTAGTAGGTAATATGCACGGCGCTCGCCTGGCTCTTCGTCCTGATGAGGCGGTGCACAGGCTAGAGCAAATCAGGGCCAAGCGAAAGGCCGTTTGCTTTAACTCTCCTTCGTTTTGTGTTTCCTCTGTCCGATCCCTTTATTTTAAATCGAGTGGACGAGGTCGTGCCCTGGCGCACAGGAGCTGCGTGACCCTCCGCAAAATAACAAGCAGCAGTGGCAGTTGGAAGATGAAAAGGGTGCTTTGAGAACAGTAGTTGAAAAAGCGAAGCTCTCGCCAGGTGGCAGAGGGCCGACGACGTTAGATATCGCGGCCGAGGCTGCTGGAACACGGGGCTCTTGTCTGGAACAGTGAGTGAGCTATAATTAACTCCCAGACTAAAGGTAATACAGTGTGGCGATGCGCCTCATGGAATCTGATGCCGGGCCTGCAATGCAGGTTCCTCACGGCCTGCTGACAGCTGCGGCGGGCTTATTAGGCTGGCTGTCCGGGCTTTGGACGGAGTAGCTGATACTATCAACAAGTCCGGTTTGTTTGAGGGGCTGCTTGTGCTTGAGGAGGGTGATCTCTTGTTGTTTCCATGGCAGTTGCTGGTTTCTTCCATCATGTGAGCAAGGCACGAAGCAGCCACTTGCGGATATCGAGGTGCATGGGCCTTGATCTGCACTGCGGAGGTGCTCCATGAGCCTGTCCCAGGAACGAGGGAGGCCGAATCACGCATAGCCTACTGTCCTTCTAGATAGTATACTATCTACTACAAATTTCGACAAGCATCGCATCCCCGGAGCAACGATACCTTACTGACTCGGTGCCGAAGCATTCATACGTGGGTAGTATTATCAGGTATATAAAAAGACACGAAGAGAACAGCCCCGGGATGCGCCACCGTCTGTGTGCCTGGCCGGAGAGCTACGGTATCACGGATGCGACGCCAGGCACACTCGCTGCAAGTGCCGTGATTGATGCTCCGTATCTGGATTGTTGAGCCGAGGCAGGTTGATGATAGACATGAAGCTCGAACGAACAAGAAGACGTGACAGCGCTGATCTGTCGTTAGGATATAGGTAGTCAAATAGTATAGGTACCTAAGCCAACCACTTGTAAAGTAGTCGAACAGATGCTGGGCGCGGTAACAAGCCATGTGACATGTCCATCCTGTCTGTTCTGTAGCACTCTCCATCCGAGATCCCTGCGCTTCTGGTCTCTGTGATGCCGTCAAGAAAAATCGCTAGTGTGGCTGCTGTATACGTACTGGGTCGTTGAAATCACATGCAGCTAACACAGTTGAGGCTGGCTGCAATATCCGCGAACCACCTATCTACTACCTAGTAGTATTGAGTGCCACCTACTCCAAGCCTAGCGAGGCTACAGCACCTGTAGCTCTTACAGCTGGCCCCTCCAACTTTCGATACTAGTCGAGGCGCGCACCTCATCACGATAACGATTGATACTGCGGCCATCCTCTCTCGTGACGCCCGTCACGCCCAGCCTCGGCCGACCATGGCAGCCCTGCCCGATGCCCAGTCCGCCGAAGAGCCCTCGTACATTGACTACGAGACCTTCCTGTCCCCCGACTTTGCGCCCGCGTCCTTCGCCAACTCCCTCGTCCTCGCCACCAACAACCCCGACGACTCCCCGCTGGACCTCGCGACGCCCTTGTCCCGGGTCCTCTTCGACGCCCAGGAGATCGACTCGCACATCGACCTCCTCACAACCCGCTCCGCCGTGCCCCTGCTGCAGTACACCCAGGCGCAGACGGAGGCCAGCAAGGCCATCGTGGCCCAGCTCGATGCCCAGATTGCGAGTCTCAACGACAGCTACAAGCAGCTGGAGAAGGAGGTCATTGACAAGCATGCCGAAGCCGAGGAGATTCGACAGGTCGCTCTGCGCCTGTGGGAGACGCTGAGGCTGGGCAGGTCCATGGGGAGATGCTTGCAGCTCGGCAGGCAGCTTCAGGTGCAAATGTCAGAGCTGGGCGGCTCCAGCACCGGCAAAAGCGACCACGGAGCGCTCGTTCGATGCTCGTACACGATACTCTCGCTGCGGGAGGTGCTGGACAGCAGGGCGCCGGGAGAGGAAGGCCATGGGCTGGACAAGCTCAACGCGATCAAGACGCTGCAGGATACCGTCATTGTACCGACAGAACGGCGGGTTGTGGAGGCATCCGAACGCCTCATTCGAGAGTTTGCCATCTCGAGCAACATCACGTTTGCCCAGAGCGAGGAGACACGATCGCGACTGGCATCCGCCATATCTGCCCTTTACTTGCTGTCCCCCTCGAGGGACATCCAGCCCGACAAGTGGTCACCGACGCTGCTCTTGCAAGCCCTCGAGACCTATGTTCGCTCTGCCCTACAGGCAAGCACCGCAGCGCTCTCGCGATCTCTGGGACAGCTCCCCACCCTAGACAAGTCTCTCGGCGAGCTCGTGTCTCATTGCCAGAACATTGCCTCTCTCGAATTGATCCTCGAGACCATCGAGACTCCGGCGCATCCCTTGGTCCCAGCTCCCGCAGCAAAGAAGAAGCAGCACAGCCTCTACCAGCTGCTGCTGTCCCGCTTTGAGACGAGCTCTCTGGTATCCTACTTTTGGCGCACCATGGCAAGCAACATTTCCACTCGCGTGCAGGAGATTGCTACCCGAGGGGGCATCGTTGCCCGGACCCTGCGCACGAATAAGAACGTGGTGGGGGATGCCATTCGGCAGGCGGTCGTCCGAGGGGGCCAGACCCCCAATGTCTTTGCCAGCAGCAAGAAGAAGCCCGTCGTCGAGGCGAGCTGGGATCGAGAAATCGCCGTTATGGTGGGTAGCGTGTTGAACAACATTGGGCGATGATGGTTCTTACGGAAAGTAATTAGATGGATTTTGGAAAGGGAATACCATGCATATAGATATAGAACTGGAAAAGGGCTGTCTTGAAGCAGCAGCGGCTGAACTGAAGTATTCTACATTTCTCTCAAGGATAGAAGTCGGCTTCTCCTCACGCATTCTCAAGTGCTCAGCTACTGGCTTCGAGGCGCTTCAAACATCGTCCTTTGGTGGCTTTTCCCTATCGACTCTCTCAGTATTCGTCTGGTGGCCCCGGCCAGCTCCCCTCCGGCACCGGTACTCTGGCCGATCTCGTGTAAATGTGCCTGGCATCCTTGAGGTCCAAGCCCTCCATACAGCCCCCCTTGACCGTCACCGTCGGCCGCGACGTCCCGTCCGGCAGCAGCCCGCGGTGAAGCACCCGCACGCCGCACGTCTTGCAGAAATAGCACTCCAGGGTGTTGCCCGAGTCGGTCTTGCGCGTCCACATGCCGACGTGGTCCCGTATGCTCTCGGGGAAGGGGAGCATGCCCTCGATGGGGAAGACGGCGGAGACGCCAAAGGCCGAGGACGACTGCTTCTGGCACTCGAGGCAGTGGCAGATGTCGACGCGGAGAGGCTTGGGGAGCACGGCCCGGAAGGAGACGGCGCCGCATTGGCAGCGGATCATGGGGTTGGTGTCCATGTGGAGGTGATGAGTATGAAAGAAGAGAGGAGCTGTGATATGCGGCTTATAGGCAGCGTTGTGAAGGAAGCAGCACGATGCCGTGTTTCGTGTGCTGATGTGCCGCTGGGCAGTGGTGTAAGTTGGATTGAATAGATTATACGAATCACACAGTAGGCAGTGGGCAACTAGATAGTAGTGATTGAAGCTGCATGAGGGGTTGTCCAGGTTGATTTCGGAGTTGGAGATGGCGAGCCAAGTTTATCAGAGATCGGCTACTACCTATAATTCACAAGGTGAAGCAAAGGGCGCGCTGGCGTGCTCTGTAAATACAGGCGATAGAAGGCTTCAATCCATCTTTTCCAGACAACATGATAAAAGTTCATGCTCACACGGTGTCAAACACGAATTGTCTGAGTATTGACATCGTGAGTTTGACCCTTTTCATATACTTATCGTCAACCCTGATCCTGCTGCTCACATCAGTGACATGAAGAAAGTTCGGTGTGCGCATCACAGTGCCGATCCATATCGCTATAGACGAGTCTTCACGCCAATCAATGGTGGTTGGGTGTGTGTGTACATGTAATGCGCGGCTTTTCGGGTCCGGCCACGGCAGCGCCGGATCGTCTCCGATTCAACCAGCCTGGACGGCCCAGCCGCTCTGCTAAACTCAATTCCCATCTCTATTTTCTTCCCCCTTCCTCTAGTGCTTCTTCTCCGATGGTCTAACCCATCTCCTTTCTTCTCGTCCTATCGATTCGCTGTGCTCTGCTCTCGGATCGTATCCAGAGCGCGACGAGCATCGCCGACGAGACTTGAATCCTCCTCCCTCGACATCACCGCCCGTGATTAGAGAGAGGCTGAGGTGCTGAGAAGCGGCAGTTCGCCATCGAGGAATCAACCGCAACCTCATCCCAAGGCAAACAAACACACAGCATGGTCCGCTACGACGTCTTCGACGCCCGGGACCTGCTGGCCTTCCCCGGCGGCGACAACAGCACCGACACCGTCTTCGGCGGCGTCCACTTCAACCTCACCACCCTCCAGCACTGGAACTACACCTACTACAGCAATGGCACCCTGTCCAACAACTCGCGCTGCTACCTGACCTACGAGCCGTACGAGCCAAAGCTGCTCATCAGCAACGGCACCTTCATCAACGCCACCAAGTGCTACAGCGCCGTCGACCCCATCGCTGCCCGCGGCTACACGGGAATTGGCTTCGCCGTCGCATATGCCATCGGCCTCATGCTTACGCTGAGCTGCCTGGCCAAGCACGGCAGGCTCTATCTGCCCAAGGAGAAGCGCTTCTATCCCATCGGCCGACGCTGGCAATGGTACTGGGGCTGCTTCGTCTGCGCCTGCGCCCTCATCAGCCTCTTCACCAACATCGACATTGACCGCTACCATGTGCCCGAGCTTCCCATCATCGTCACCTCTTTCTTCTGGTTCCTCATCTGCCAGGGGACTCTTGCGCTAGTGTGGGAGTCGGTGAGGCACTGGGGAAGCTGGCAGGAGAGGCAGTTCATCGACCCGAACCCCTTCGTCTACCGTACCGACGACCGGCGCGCCATGGTGGAATTCTACATGCCCCTGTGGTTCTATTTCTGGACCTGGATGGTAAGCTCGCGCCCCTTTGTTTTCTGATGGTGACCAATATTCTTCGTCTCGTGCACTGTCTCACAAATCATTTAGAACTTCTTCCTTGTCATTCCTCGGAGCTGGTCCTTTGTGGAGCAGCAGCGCTCTCCAGAACAAACCATCGCCAAGGCGATTCCCGCCGCTACAGGAGCGCGATTCAAGGCCGGCGCCTTCTGTCTCGTCGTCGCCTGGCTTACCATCGTCTTCTCGCTCCGCCACTCAATCTATCACTACAAGCCGCGGAACCGTGGAGTCTTCAACCGGACCATCGGCTTTGCCAAGGCGCTCCCGCTGCGTTTCGTACTGACCATTCCCCTCGCAGGCGCTCTCGTTGCTTACCAGGTGTTGATCTCCTTTGATTGGACATTCTCTGTCATGCGCTACCATGGCATCGTGCCAGTCATATTCGCCTGGGGCTACGGCCCGTCCTTGCTCATCATCTTCGTGCAAGTCGCCTACGGATTCGCGAGCCCCAACGAAGACAAGGCGCTCCTCCACCAAAGACGACAGCGCGGCGACACCATTGACCGGGAGCTTGGCATCGTCAGGAAGCCGGCGTGGTGGAGGCGCGTCAGGGGTGAACACTTGTACACCATGCGAGACAAGATTACCCAGAACGTCAACGAGGTGGGAGGGAAGCGCGGGCTCAGGGCCAGATTCGAAGCCGAGGCCGAAAACCAGACGGGCGGCAACGGCGACGGCATTGAGATGACGAGCGTGTCTCAGAAGAACAACCCGCGGGTGGACAGGGCTGGCGTCGGGAGCCTGGCGTCCACAGAACAGCGGCGCTACACCGGAAAGTCGGAGCGCCGACACAACGAGCGCATCGTCGAGGACTTTGCCGGCGTGCTCTTCCCCAACAATGCCGACACCGAGAGGGCGCGGAGGATCGCCGAGATAACGGCAGACGGCCCTCCGCCCTATCAGGACGAGGATCGTGGCCGCTCGTCCCGGCAGAACGGCTCGAGTAATGGGCAGAGGAACGGCAGCGCCGATACGACCAACTCGATTGCTGCCCCGCCACAGCAAGTTAGGAGCATGCTGGATGTTTGAGCCGGCATAACGGCTGCTTTCAATTTGATGAGTTATCCGAGAGATGACGAGAGTATTAATGAACAATGACGAGAGCGATGAACGGCTCGATTGGTGACGACTGGGCTTTTTTATGCGAACAAGCGAACAAGAGAGGGGCAAAGCAATTAGCAGAGGGAAGTATGTTGTCATCCTTGCACGAAGAGCCATGATGCTTGATGATGAACTGTTTATGTTTGGGACGATGGGCGCATTGCTCGTATCTACATTGTTGGCTTGTCCGGGTCAATATCCTCCCTTAACATGAGGTGGTACAAATATTCTGTATAGAGAACACGATTTCTTCGATTTTATATCATGACCTACAATATACAATAAGTTGTATCATCGGCTAGAATTTATCGTTTGGCGAGTCACCTTCATCTGACAAGCGTATTAGTCAAGACGCCCATCATTGTCACACACGGTTCAATGTATCTGATACCCAATTCCATCTCAGTTCCTTCGAAAGGACCGTATATATATATATATGTATCTCGTCTTCTTCCTACTACTTTCAATCTTGGCTGTGTTCCCCAGTGTCGTAATGTCCTTGCTGACGTTGCAGGAACCCATTTCCTGTAAAACTCTCGCTCCTTTGTGTCCCACCATAAGCGGATCTCGTCTCCGTGCCCAGGCCCTTTTTGTGAAGGAATTTGGGCGACGGTGACACGGGAGGAAGGGAAGGGGAGGACGAAGGGGCACGATGGATTGACGACATGAGTAAGAAAATAGAGAGCATGGCATGGGATCATATGACTGATGCCAAGGACGTCAGCAAAAGGGGTAGATTTGCCTTTTGGGGGTGGCCACTGGGTCTGGGTAGTAAGTAGTAGATGTTTGTATCATGGACGCTGAAATCGAATTATATGTACGTTGTAGATAGTATGTAAACGTATGTAGCTGTATGTAAGGTACGTAGAAGGTGCATCAGGTACGGTGATAGATCCAGCCACTCATGATGCAAAAAAGCAGCAAGTGTGTTGGCAAAATCCAGGAACTCGAATCGGATAAGGGGATCCCTGTCGATCCTTGGTCTCTGCCAATTACAAGTGTTCACGTGCAATGAGGCCGTTGGAACAACAACACCGCGAGAAGATTGCCAAGATGATTCTCTTGTGGTTTCTGTATTCTACTCCCCATGTCCTGCCACGTTGTTTATAGTGCTTTGAGGTTGGAAGCTTGATGCCTTATTTGCTTTCGTACTTTGGCCAAGGATACTACTCTCTCGAACCAACCCAGCATGTCAAAGATTCTAGAGACGGCGTCGCTGCAAAGCTTAAACGAAGGATGCATTTGTAGTACTATCGGCCACTGCAACGGCGCTGTGGTCCCAGTTGACCCAAATCATGACATCGTCACGATGAGATGCTTCGGTTAATCAATACTTATAGTTTCACGCAAGTGGACGCACCCATCCAGACAAGCAATAGAAGCCAGCATCCCATTCCAAGAATAGACTTTCCATACGTGCCGAACGAAAATACGCATGCATGCGTGTTGTGTGTGTGAGTGTGTGTGTTAGAAGGGCTGTTGTCATAAACTCACCTCTCCCAGCGACCACCAAGGCCTGGATGACGTCGAATCCGATAGATCGCGTGCATGCCGGAAATGTGGGCACTTCAGAGAGCCCATCAACTACATGCACTTGTACCTACCTATCCATTTCCCCTCCCTTTTTATTCCGTCCGATTGCTGATAAATGCCTACCTAACCTGCTCCTCCATACTACATACTGGAGTCCCTCGTTGCCCCGAATATACTAGGTATGTAGGCAGATGCGCAGTGAGGCCACATGCAAGCGGCTACTGATACTTCTGCTTCATCCTCCCAATATGCATGCACGGCTCAATGACTCGAGACTTTCCAAGTGTTCCCATCTGTAGCGTAGGCACCGAACCAATCAAGAGCCGGCCGTCAAAGAGAGTTTGCACTACTCCGGACCTCACACCACGAAACCCCAGTTTTGCCTTTTTTTGTCTTCCGTCCCTCTATTCCGACCTATTGGCTATGATATACCTTTCTCGTCTATCTGCCGTACTATCGGGAATAAACCCTCCCAAAACAAGACATGATCTCAGCACATATGAGATGACGAACATCGTAACAGAACAGCCTCTTTTGTTGGGCGCATACGATGGGCTTTCCGGGCTCCATCCAAAAAAGTCGTGATGCCTCGAAAATGGGCCGGGGGATCCGCTTCGTCGCTCCCGTACCAGCGCAAGCGGCCGGGCTTTGGGCGGCAAGGGGACCACCTCAACCTCAACCTCACGCAATCTATCTGATCCGAAGTTCACTTGCCCACATATGGCATGCTCGGGTTCGTCATTCGATGCAAATGCACGCACGTACAAAGGCTGCATCACACGTGCTACAACTCACCTCACATTAGCAGCCATTCACGGTAGTATCAGAAGAGACGGAGGAAAAAAAGAGAAGCAGATATTATTACCCGATCCAAGAAACCGTGGCATCTTCCCATTCTCACCCGTTGCTTCGATCGCGCATCGACTGCACCAAAAGGTCGAGGAATGCAAAAGCAAAAGTCGTCGTCTCGCCATGCCGTCATCCAGCCGGGACGTGGAGTTGCGGCCCTGGGTGCGGTGCCCACAAGCATCAATGTTAGCGGGCGTTCGCTTCCAGCCTAGCAGCTATGGAGCACGCACCTCACCTAGAAGCCCAGCGCCTCCTCAGCAGCCTAGCGCCCACTAGGCCGCCGCAGCCCAGCCCCAGAGGCCGAAGCAGCCACCAGACGGCCACCTATCCGCTCCAGCAGCCCAGCCCAGCCCAGCCCTGAGCGAAGTCGCCTGGACCTTGCCCTGCCCACTGGACTGCCGCAGATGTGCCTGGGCCGCACACGCTAAGGTTTGCGCAGGGCAGATGACCTGTACCTTACGTTGCCCATCCAATGTGGGCGAGTCAACGGATGGAGGTGTGACGTCGTCGGCATGGGCAGGCCCCAGGTACCCTTGCTCCACATTCGCGGTGTCGAGGTACCGGGTCGAGCTTCGAGCGGAAACTCTGCATCCACGCTCTCTTCTTAGGCTCGCTCTTCGAATGCCCTCCCTCGGAATAACTGACAGTCTGCATGTCCTGCTGGATGCGCCCTGAACTCTATGTGGCATGCCGTGCACGAGGTGTTTCGCAGCTGCTAGGAACTGTTCGACCAAGGGAGTGCCATCGAATAGGAACTGAAGATGGCCTGTCGTCCGTCCTCGGTCTGTGTCGCGTTTGGCATCCTTCGCCTGGCTTTGGTACGATATCTCTGGAAGCTTATACATACATCATCTAGACAGCAGAGAGAGCGCCGTCCGCCATCTCCGGCGGAACCCCCGGTTCAACAGTTCGACGCTTGCGCCGCCTCTTGTCATCCGGCGTCGTGTGTTTCAAAGCTTCTCTTGCAGGCATACGAATGCACAGGTGCTTCGTACATGCCTATCCCTTCCCTACCTTGACCTCGTAGCAGCAGGTCATCACAGGTATTAGCGAGCTCGCAACTCGTATCAGGCCCCCGGCAGTCTGCATCGTCGCCCAGGCCCGGAGCACGCACGCATACTATAACGTCTGACGGCTAGGTACAGGTACCAGCCACCCCCCGGAGAGGCACGAGTAAGGCAACATGGAAGGAAGGGTAAGGCATGGATGGCCGTGGGCGGGCTGCAGGGCGTTGCCGAGTGTCACATGGATGCGCATTCTCTGCTGCCCGCCGGTAGCGCGCTGCGATCTGGGTGCGGTTTTGCGCCTCAGACAAGGATTCCGACCTTCCCGGAGGGGAGAGACGAGGCCAGCAAGGCCCCCCCGACTGCACTTGTGCGAGCCTAGATACTAGTGGTGGCAGTAGTCGTCGATATCTGACCTGGAGAATGGCGTGGTGCCTTGGCCTGTTGCGGGTGCCGGAGGTATCGCCAGGTACAGGCTACCTGGGGCGCATCCACGATGGACATGCTTAGCGCTCAGCCGCTCTGCGCGGTAAGGCAGGTCTCGCTCGATAGGAATGCGGTTGATAGTTTTTCGACGGCCGTTGAGCATCATGATTGCTAACATTGAACTCTGTACTGCAGCAGGTGGTATTTCCACCATACTGTAGGTAACTGATGGTCCACTCGCCACCAATATCAGCGAGACAGCCCAGATATTACACCAGATATATTGATCAATACATGCCTACCTACCTCGAGTGATATCGTCGCTCGCTCAAGGGCCATCCCCGGCACAAGAGTCGCCAGCTGGACTTCGGTTCGGGAAAGTGAATCGTGACGAGCGTGGTTGGCGCCCTGCCCTGTCCTGCTATGCCATGCCCTGCCACGCGAATCCGAATCCGGCCTCCGCCGCGGGATCGCGATCTGTCTTTCTTGGGACCTTATTCTCCTGTGGAGGAGGAGCATGCCAGCCTCAACTTTATAGATAGTCTGCGAATCCTCACCTGATCGCTTCCTCTTCTCAGCCGGACAGAGTCTGGAATGATCAGGCCGAGCATCAAGTGAGAAAAGACAGCGTCCTGTCGCCGACCAGCGCTAGCCCACCAGGCACGCATCGCTGTGTCACCGATCGCAGGGTCCGGGCGGCTCAACCCCTGTCGAGCTCGTTCGCTGCTCTGCCTCAGCTTGTCCGCTGCGTCCTTGGTTTCCGATTCTGGTCCTGGCGATCGTCCAATCGCACGGGGCTCCTGGTCGCTGGCCGCCGTTGTTGCTAGCGGAGTTGAGGTGCATGTCACAGCGCTAGATACCTAGATGCTGAAGGACTGGCCCCAAGGTCGACTGGCCATCTACCATCCACGTCTATCCGGAGCTCATCATCCACGGCGCAAACTGGGCTCTTGGCCGCAAGCAGCGACGCCTCGCCTCAGGCAACATACATAACCAGCGCCAGAGCAGACAAGCAGCGCTCTCTCTCGCAGCAGACGCATGGACGGGTTGACGCCGTCGGCTAGCGGCAGAGCAGGCATCCCTTCGTTCAGGTACCCAACCCTTGCCGGCCAGGTACTCGATACCCGCCGACTACGAGACACCAGCTGCTGCCACCTCCGGTCAGCAACCAGTCCAGTGGCCTCTAGCAGGCTCAGGTTCGGCTCAGGTACTCGCCCTCGCCGTCCGGTACCTGGAACGCACTCAGCAGAAGCACAGCAGTGGGCGCCATTCCCCAGTTCTCACGCAGCCACCAACAGCGCCTCCATTAGCAGATCCATCCGCTGTCTCGAGCTGTTGACGACAGCCCCAGGAGAGCCGCAGCAGGTCCCAGCCCAAGCCCAACACCAACGCCGCCATCCGCCTCGAGCGTCTGCCAGCAGTCGTTTCGTTTTGCCTTTTTATCTCGTCTCTCGTTCTGCTGCCCCCGAAAAAAAAGTTACCCAGCACAAGCTTCAAAGTTTCTGGCGGCCGAGTTGCCCCCCCTTGTCCTTCCTGATTTTCGCCTCCTCCGCCCTTGCTGACCTCAAACACTCCCCCCACCACCTTTTTTTCTTCCCCCTCCCCCCTCGGCCCTACTTCAGCCTTCTTGCCCGTTGCCTTGGCCCAGCAACTCCAACATCAGCTCCAGCTCGGTTTCCAGCGGACGCGGAACAACGGCCTCGAGACATCGCGATATCCCTGTACCCGGCTTCTTCTTGCCGCTCTGCTCTCCAGACGAGAAGTCGCTCGCTCGTCAAGCTGCCGCTGTCGTGCGGGCTCCTTCGGCGGTTCCATCCACGATCGGAAACGTGCCTGACTGTGCCGTACGCAGCCTTGCTCGTTGGGTGGTGCCCGCAGAGGTCGACAAGTGCCACCCTGTTCTACCCTGCCTGCTCTCTTGCGTAATCGGCCTGTGCTGCATCACCTCTCTCGCAAACCTCCTCCTCTTCCGACCTTGCACGACACTGCCGACGGCCTGCGAACCGGCGAACCCGCCGACGCGCGCCATCGCTCGTCTTGCATCGCCGTCAACGTAGCCCATCGTCACCGTCTGGTCGCCTCGCTGCGCCCAACATGGCGGCTGCGTTTCGCCCCGTCAACACCCCCATGGCAGCGGACCTCGCCAGGCAGGACATGATGGCACCGAGAAGCACGACTCCTCGTCCCAGCACCGCGCCGCAGTCTCAGCAGCTCCAGCCCGCGGGCTCGCCAGACGATGGAAAGACGCCCACGCGAGCCACCTTCAGCAGCATCAACATGGCCAGCAAGAGGCCTCTGCCGCCGAGTTCGTTTCCTCCAGCTCCGCCCGGTCCTGATCCTCCCGAGGGTGCACTGCATCACGACGGCCCCCATCGCTCCAAGTCGCCCAACAGAAGCTCGCTCGACGTCGACATGGACGATTCGGATGGAGAGGGCGGCGCTGTCGATGACGGCGTCGGCTCCGACGACGAGAGTGTAAATGCCGACGGCACAAGATCTAGCAAGAAGAAGAAGTCCCAGCGCTTCTTCTGCACCGACTATCCGCCCTGTAACCTCAGCTTTACTCGCAGTGAGCATCTGGCGAGGCACATAAGGTAAGCCAACGGATGCTCAGCTCGTCTTGTCTTTTCCCTTTACCAAATCCAAGTTGTTTTGCTGACAAGTTGCTAGGAAACACACCGGAGAGCGGCCTTTCCAGTGCCACTGCTCAAGGCGCTTCTCGAGGCTGGACAACCTAAGGCAGCATGCCCAGACGGTTCACGTTAACGAAGATATTCCGATCGACTCTCTTGCTGCCACCGGATCCAGATTTCAGCGTCAGATACGGACTGACAGGGTCCGTCAAGCCGGCAACAGAGCGAGGGCGTCTACCGGCGGCAGTGCCGGCGGGCCTGTTCGTGGACATTCGAAATCCCTCTCGACTTCGAGCATCTCCAGCATCACCTCCGTGGGTTCGGCCTACAGCCCGCAGAGTGATGCCCGTCGACGACCTGCCCCGCTCGTCATGGCGGCCGATCCCCGCTCCAGGATGTCCATCGAGTCTTACCGCAGTAGCACGGACAGCACCTTTTCCTATCGACCCAAGAGCCCCGGTGAATTCAGCACGCCAACCTCTGCCACCTTCTCGACGGCCCAGAGCAGCCCGCGATGGAGCGCAAGCGTGGCGTCTCCGGCGACACACTCGCGATCTCATAGCATGTACGTCGCGGGCTCTAGGACGCCCGGTCGTCGCTTGAGCGTTCCTTCAGGCAGCAGCCCCTTCCAGTTTCCCCAGATCCCTCAGGGTCAACCTGCAGGCCGCTCGCCCGTTGGGCTCCCGTTCATGAACAGCTCCAACGCTGGTGCCTTTGCGCCTCAAGGCGCGAATATTGTTGCGTCACCGACTGCGGCTGCTCCGCCTTCCGGGTTCTCATCCCGACGAGAGTCGATTGCGAGCAGCACCGGCGAGGAAGCATGGCGGCGGCGAACCTGGCACCCAGACAGCCGTAACCAGCTGAACGCTGTCCTCAGCCAGTCCACGCGGATCAACCCCCCTCCGCCTATTGCAAATCCCGCGGGGCCTCCGGCCAATCTTCGCCTTCCCGGTATCGAGTCCTTTGATCCTCTGCCTCGCTCTACTACACCGCCGAGGCGCAAGCCGTCTCCCATGGCTGTCGACCCTGAACTCGCTCCTCGACCCCCGATGATGGAGGCCATACCGGCTGACGAGAGGCGGAACCTCAACATGTACGACGTCAGCCTGCAGCGCGGCCTGGGCCGTCTTGACATAGGACCCAAGACCCCTCCTCGTGACAGCGCCGGCATGTGGGCGTCTGAAGCCCACAAGGCGGTCCAAAATGTCGATCAGGCACGTCTGAACCCGCCAGTCGTCCGCTTTCAAGAGCAGCCCAGGCCGAGCCACATGGTCCCGTCTTCAGCTGCCCCAAGTCGATCCTTCCATCAGCATACCATGTCTGCTCCCACTTTGGCGAGGGAGCCCAGGGGCCACGGCTGGTATCCGGCTGCTCACGGAGGCGGCCATCAGTCATCCCAGGACCCGCGGCACCAACTTGTTGAGCGGATGGTTCATCCCAACTTCACTGGCTTTGCTGGATTCCCAGCACGAGAGCCTCAGGAGCATCGACAGCAGCAACAACAACAGCCACATCCTCATTATCACCAGCAGCAGCAGCCGCATCAACAGCAGCTGCAACAGCAGCAGCAGCAGCAACCCCTTCAACAAGATCGCTCGAATAATCCGGATTCGCTCAAACGACTCGAAGCGCTGGTGGCCGTTGCGACGAGTGAAGGCTCCACTACCACTGCGTACTAAGCGACGGACAGCTCTTCCTCGTCTTTTCCCCTCCCCTTTCTCTTCCTTATCAACGGCGCCTACAAGCTGGATATGTGGGCACGTGAGATTGAAACTGGTTCATATATCTTGAACTCTCCATTTTGCCAAACGAATGAAGTACGGTTGACCCTACGAAATGGAACGGGGATGGCAGGTATCCATGCGCAGCCGGTGCCGGCTGAGTTTGACGCACGACATGACCGGAGTAGACCAGGAGAAGTGGTGATGTTTTGATACCCTTTTAGCTTTGACTGTGATGCGGCCGCGTTGCTCCCTTTTTCACGACCGATAGTCTGTCCATCTGCTTGTTGGTTTATCGTTGTGCCTTTGGAATTGTATCCAGGAGTTTGGGAGGGTCAGGGTCTTTCTTTCACTAGATTCCAATGCAGGTTTGGGTGTACATGATGATCGAGATGCATGACAGATTCACATGTGGCATGGACATCTCCAGAATCGGTAGTCTACCAAAGTACCTAGGTTGTACATGATGGGATTGGCTGCCCAGTAGCCATCCCCAATATATCTCCTTTCTTCTATTGGAATCTAACTTGAGTTGTTCCCGACTACTGGTAGCCAGCGTAACATGATACCGCAACTACGATGGTCTTCAAGGCAATATTTGTACTTACGGCTACACTGATAAGTGACAGGCAGGGCAAAAAGGTATGTCAGATGATGAATAATATAATTATATTATCAATTAGAGAATACTACAAAAGCTACTACTATCATAAGCAAGGATTGTTAGGTATCTTGATATATATCATTTTCATTTAGCACCGTAAAGGTTCTTGACAGTCACATCAAACTCCTCAGGACGACGGCCCAGCAGCTGCTCCAAGGTGGGTGACACATAGGCCGTTTCGCCGTCCCGAATGGCTTCCCAGGAAGTGGCCCAGGTGCGGGCGAGCTCGGCGGAGCCAAAGTGCTCGAGGACCTGCGGCTGGTTGACGTACTCGTCGACGGAGACCTGGCGGATGGTGAGCTCCCTGCCGGCAACGGAGGAGAGCACCTTTGCGGTCTCGGCGAGGGACCACTCGCGGGCTCCCGTCAGGAGAACAATCTTGTTCTTCCAGGGGAAGTTGGCCGGGTCCTTGAAGTACTGGGCGATGAGGACGGCGGTGGCCTCGCCCAGCTCGTCGCGCTTGGCCCAGCTGATGCCCGGGCCGGAGCCGTCGTGGGGGATGCGGATCTCGGTGCTGGCCGGGTCCTTGAGGTCGATGAAGGCGGTGTAGATGGGGGTGGACTCGCTGTAGAGGCCCTCCCTGACCGAGGTCCATGTAAACTCCGGGTCCTGGGCGGCGATCTTGCGGAGATGAGCCTCGGTGTCGAGGTGCGTGCCCATGACCTCCGCCCTGGTGGTGTCCTTTTCCGGCAGGGCGAAGGCGAGGGAGGAGTAGAAGACGTGCTTGACGCCGGCGCGGTGGGCGGCGTCGAGGGCGGCGAGCTGCAGGGGCGTGCGGTAGCTGCGGTTGTGGCTCGGGTAGGAGATGAGGAAGAGCGTCTTGACGCCCCTGAAGGCGGCCTCGAGGTCGGCGGGGCTGTCCTCGAAGGTGGCGCGGCGCAGCTGGACGCCCTGCTCCTGGTAGAGCTTGGGCGTCTTGTCGGGGAAGCGGCTGATGAGGACGACGTCGGAGGCGGGGATTTGCTTCGAGTCGAGGAGGTGGGTGTAAGTGCTCGTGCCGAGGCCTCCTGAGGCGGGGAAGATGGCGACGGACATGTTGGGCGGTTTTTTGTTGTTGATGAGATGGGATTTATTGATTAGTAGCTTTGAGATGGAAGGAGTGGTATCATTCAATGGCACACGGTATAGTTCTGGTGCTACTGCTGCTGCTGCTGCAGAGTTTCTGCTTTCACTGCCAAATTTATATCTATACGGACTTGGCTCGGGGAGATGCTCTCCTCAGGAGTATTATTAATGAGGTGCTCGATTATGACGTAGGCGTTCATCTGGGCATGGGCAATCCATCGTCCGACGAGAATTCTCGAGCATTCTACAGTGCCGTGTGAAGGATTCACAGTCTAATGCAAGATGGAGCTTTCTGGAGATTCACATGGCGAGATGCTAGTCTACTAGTACCAGGAAGGGTAACATGAGGTTAAAAGGGCCATCGAGACCCCTGGTTTTAGTTTTAGCTGTGAAACAAACCACTGGACAGGAACCGGCTGCAAAGGTGGCGTCCGTCCCTCAGGGTTCTCGGAGCTCACGGGCCTCTTGGAGACGCGCATGTAGTCGTACAGCCGCAGCCGAGGATTAGGCGCAGAAGGGTGCTTCAACCATCATCCATGGGACCCTGCTGTAGGGATGCTCAAGTTGCAACCACAAGTCAATTTGAATGCTTCCATGTCCCTTGGACGCTCCGGTGAAGTGACCTGCGCAGAACCACCGGCAGCTGCTTGCTCGACGGCCACGACCCGGATCCCGATTCCAGGGCATCACCAGCCCCTTTGGCCAATGCCCAGCGGACCAGACTGCCACGGCCCAGCGAGATGCGCGATATGGATGGCGCTGGCGAGGTGATGATGGCGAGAGGTAAGGGGAGCTCCCCAATCGGGGGATCTGGCATTGTTTGAGACTTGCGCAGTAGAAAAGAAAGCTGATGCGACTCGTGTCTTCCCGACATAGACACCTGGGCGTCCATTCCCTCCCACCTGCTCCGCGCCGAGCTCCAGAGACGACAAGACGAGGGCGAGAGGCCGCAGTGCGGCGGGCACAACTCGGGATGGTACGACACCGCGGCGCACGTCTTTGCGCTGCTCCTGATTCTCGTCCTGAGCACCCTCGCTTGCGGCTTCCCCCTGCTGTCTAGACGAGCGACGACGGGGCATCGCCAAAAGAACATCGTCTTCTACTGTCAGCACATCGGCACCGGCGTCCTCCTGGCCACGGCCTTTGTGCACCTGCTGCCGACCGCCTTCTCGTCCCTCACCGACCCGTGTCTCCCGTACTTCTTCAGCAAGGGATACACGCCTTTCCCCGGCCTCATCGCCATGGTCTCCGCCATCGTCGTCGTCGGCGTCGAGTCCTATCTGACCGCTCGGGGCGCGGGCCACTCTCACTCGCACGCACACGACTTTTGGGATGAAGATGAGCAGGACGATGCGCAGGAGCTATCAGCAACAGCCGTCAATGGCATGGCTGGCAGGCGTGGGCATGTGGCGGGACGACGACCGGCCGACCTTTCGCTCAACAACTTGGAGGCCTCGGAGGGGCTCATTGCCGGCGTCTCCCCCCTGCCTGGATCGAGCCCGGCGATGCAGCGGCGACGATCCGCGGACCTTGGGGACGACGACGACGACGACGACCGAGACTCGGATCTCGACCTGGACCTGGCGGAGCTCGACCCCGTCTCTGCCGGCGGAAGCGGTCAGAACGGCGCATACTCTTCGCTTTCTCGCGTCAAGACCAATGCCAGAGGAGGAGGAGGCGGCGGCGGCGGCGGCGAGGCTTCCGACGGCAACCACGTGCAGTCCCCGGACGAGCAGAAGCGGCGGATGCTGCAGTGTCTGCTGCTGGAGGCGGGCATCCTGTTCCACAGCGTCTTCATAGGAATGGCCATCTCTGTGGCGACGGGCCCGGCCTTTGTCGTCTTCCTCGTCGCCATCAGCTTCCACCAGTCCTTCGAGGGCATGGCCCTGGGCAGCCGCATCGCCGCGATCCAGTTCCCCAAGGGCTCCGTCCGCCCCTGGCTCATGGTCCTGGCCTACGGCACCACCACGCCCATCGGCCAGGCCATCGGGCTGGTCCTGCAGCGCAAGTGGGACCCGAGCAGCGCCACGGGGCTCGTCGTCGTGGGCACCACCAACGCCATCTCCTCGGGCCTGCTGCTCTACGCGGGGCTGGTGCAGCTGCTGGCCGAGGACTTTTTGACGGAGAAGAGCTATCGCGTGTTGAAGGGCAAGAGGCGCGTGCAGGCCTACTTTTCCGTCGTGGCCGGCGCTGCGCTCATGGCGGCTGTGGGAGCGTTTGCTTAGCTCTTTACTCACTTTTTCCTTCTTGTTGTTGCATGCATTTTATGGGCGTGGGGTCAATGTGTTGCCAAGTGTGAGGCATTTGCATCTTTGCGTTGATATGTCGCTTGGTTTGTTTGTCTATCTGCCCCCCCTTTTTCATATTCTTGTTCACTACCGTTTGGCGTTGGTAGGGCTAGGGGGGGGCCATAATCTCATAGAAGAAAGTTTTCGCGGCATCAAGCATGTGCTCTTTAGATAGGGTAGGGAGGCTCTATATCGAAATTTACAGGCAAAGAGGGTGGTCATCCCTTTGCAGTTGTTCAGTATTTCCGCTCGGATTCATCTCTGAATCTTGCTTATGCTGTCTGTGTAAGGCAGATGATTGGATGAATTTACCATCTCCGTCTCTGCTTCCAGCGAAGGAAAATTTGAAGGAGAGTGATGATGATTGGGGGGGGGGGGGCTTGTCTGGTAGACGGGACTGTCGAGACGCGAAGACGTAGTTTCTGGATAAATGCCAGGATTCTTATAGATGCCACCATGGGATGATAAGTGACAAGTCCATGTTATCTTCTACTTCCAAGAGCTTTCACTACACTACCAAAGTCGTTGGGCACTCTGTCATTCCCCACGGGCGAAGCCACCATAGGAGTCTGGACATTCCTTGGACAATGAAATGATCACGGCAGGCACAACTCTCATGGCAGTCTGCCTTTTGCCTGTTTGGCCACATCCGATACATGTACACTGCTTCACCGCTGTGTCTGACGGCTTAGACTACAGAAAGGCGAGGTGTTGATGAAGAGAAGATGACGAGATGAAGTGCAGAAGAGACGCCGTCGTTGTGATTAAGAGCCTCGCCAGCTGTGAAAATTTATCTGAGTAGCCGTCACTCGCACGTAAAACGTCGACGATGGAAGGGGTATATGATGGCTTCTCTTTTCCTTCCTAGGATAGCATTGTCTTCATGTCATTTCCTATCCTTCACAGAGAGAAACTCTCGATTTCATACCCAGTGGCTACTCACAGCATGCCCTGTTCTATCTTGCCCCCCAAGGATAAACAGCAGCAGTGCTCTCCTTTTTTTATTCCAGCCGACAAGCGAAATGGGCTCCTGCTTCTCCGAACCCGTCAAGCCCTCCCGTCGACGCCTTCGCTCCCCCTCGTAAGCCTCCCTCCCCCCCTTTGCCTCAACAAATCGAAAAAGAAGTGAGCACTGTTAACTATTTCGCAGTCCCAGAGAGCCCCGAGACGCGCCTGTCGCATACGAGTATTACTACACCAGGATGAACAACAACGAACAGGTTCTGATTCGGCACCGAGTTGACCGCTCCTCGCGGGCTGGAGATGGGCCTGCAAGGGGCAAGGGGAGACGTGGCGGGAATGAGCGGTATGGTGTTGTGTGGAGGGAGGACAAGGGAAAAGAGAGGAAGAAGAGCAAAGGCAAGAGCAAGAGCAGGTCCAGTCGTGATGAGAAGAAGCAGAAGAGTCACCAAAGTCAACGTAGTAGGAGGCATTCCAGTTACGGTAAGCAAGTCGTCCCAATCTCCGGGCACGGAAGGGAAGAGGAAGATGGAAAACTGACGATAATCCTCTCTGTTGAAGACTATGCTAGCGGAGACGAGGGCCTCGACGAAGACACCCAGAGGCGAATAGGTTTCTGGCTGGACGAGACGACACAAGACCGCGATGAGCAGGACACTGTTGATGGTACTCGGGTTTTGCCGGAGTTGGTGAGACAATGACTGGTTTGCACCTTATGATGTCGCATACACCGGAGATGGAGAAAAAATGGCTCTCGGGTAAATCTACAATGAGCAAGCATATGGCTTTGAGGAGAAGTGGCTGACCACGGTAACGACTCAGGGGTATTCTTCACTCATTGGGCATCAATCTCAATCCCATCCCCCCTTTAATTCGGAGGATTCACCCATTTTCAACAACGAGCACACGAAATACTACCCGCAATCCCTCAATAACGAAGACAATACATAGTCACAATCACAATCATAAACGTGAGTCAAGTCATCTATACAAATCCCATGACCACGGACAAGAGTCAAGCAAGCTTGGCCTCTTCATTCACCTCGCCTGGTGCAACAATACCAGCATCAGCGCCGCCATTGTTCTGCTGTGCCTACGTGTGCGTGCGTGCGTGCGTGCGTGTACCCTGTATCAGATGAAAAGATGACATTCAATGACAGCCAGAAGACGCGGGAGTAGAGGGAGCGCAGATAGACACAAGCTTAGCTTTCCAGCCTCCCAAACGGGATCACCCAGCTCCGTCAATGACAGCTGCCGGCCAGCGATTTCAAGTGGTACAAAGTGGCCAGTTGTTTGTGTCCTGGGTCTGCTTGCTCACCTGCGGAGCCGTCAGTCAGTCAATCAGTCAGTCAATCAACTCCATCGATTTCTCTTCTCAAGCAAAGGAAACTAGAGGAAGCAAAGAGAAAGGAAAGCAAGATACTCCCTTCTTGCATCTCCTCCCAAGCTTTTTCCTGCAGAGAACATCATTTCTCAACAAGAACAGCATCATCGCCCAGAAATCAGACACAACTTCCGTATAAAGTTCTGCCACTATCGTGATGGGCTGCTGCTTTTCCAGCCAGGCTTCGAATGCCGCTTCTCACCGCGAGCACGAGCCGCATGGACGAATCGCCACGCCTCCTCCGCAGTAAGTCTCCTTTACCGTGATTACCTCTTCCTCATCTCAGAGCTCTGCGAGGGCTCAACTGCTGACTACCTCGGGCGAGGCAGAATCCCGCCCGAACAATACGATCCGAGACACATTGGCGTCCTCCCCGATCCCATCATCACCACACCACCACCCCCCATCGCCGCCCCCGTCGCAATCTCAGGGGCCACCGAGCAAAACATGCCGGCCATTGTCGAGGCCATGACGCCCAACGAGGTGGTTGAAGGCGCGAGCTCGTCCGCGTCGGCGTCGTCGTCGTCGTCGTTGTCGCCGACTTCGCAGCATGTCATTCTCGAGCCGACGGTGTATGTCCCTCCTTCTCGACGACAGGAGAACGGCGTGGCGGAGGCAGAGGGCGTGCCTGGACTTGTGGAGGAGGAGGAGGAGGAGGAGGAGGAGGAAGAGGCTGTTGAGCCTCCTGAGGAGCGGACCAAGGCTTCGTCGAGCTCGAGTTCAGGGTCTAGCTCTAGCTCGACCTCCAAGTCAAGCCGAGAGGAATGAGAATATGGACGGATGCCTATCTCGCCATGGCTTTTGGAGGCAGGGAGGGAAGTCGTATACTGTTTGGGAGGATATGGACAGCTGGGGACGTTGAGGTGATTCACGAGGAGAGGCAGCTGAGCTTTGTCTCGGCAGTCTGGCCATTTGACACTTCGAGATGGATGGTGACACGAGGCGTTGGGGACAACAACAGTTTGGTGTCGTATTTGAGGCCTCTGGGCTGGTAGGTATCTGCTTTCAGGTACTGGTTTGTACCTCGTCAAATGTGAATTTGATGCACTTTCCCGCTTTGATGTCTTTTCGCGGTGTCCATGATGGCCCTCATCTTATGATGGCACGTTTGGTCTGTGGGAGTATGTAAGAGCAACATTGGATTACAGACTAAGGCATCGCTGTATCACCAACAACACCAAGACCCAAAGAGATGGAAGTCATCAGAAAGGCTATCGGTTACTACCTACCTACGGTAGTATATATGAGGTACATCGCCAAGACAGCAGAATTTGTCCATCAGGCCACTAGGATGCTCGATTTGCTCAGAAACTTGCTCAAACGGCCGCAGCCGCATTGGCCCATCGCTAGAGGAATGTCTCCGTCCTTGATAAGAATTCCTTCCTGTGACTCTTGCATAGAACCACCCGCAACTTCAATCCACATAGATCCAGCACAGGTCAAGAGACATCATAGCGAGTCTTTAGGGGAGAGAACCCCCTCAAAAGGCTCCAGCCTGCCAGCCAGACATGCCACCTGCCAGCGCTTCTGATACTCGACCTCGGTGCGCTGAAAACTCTTCTGTAAGTTGGTAGAGGTAGGCAGTAGCCTTTTATGCTGTGCTTCCACAAGAGGCGGTCAATGCGCAGGCCTTATAAATACCTACCTAACATACCACGCCCTTGGCCAGCTGCATCACCTCCTACCTTGTCGCAACAGCACCTGTTCTGCTTTTGTTTGGATTTTGGCATCAACTTTTCAAATCCACCGTTGTCTGTGTTGTCGTCCATTCGTCTCTTCACCAGGCTAGAGAGCCTCTCTTCCCTCTTCTCTCGCGTTGCCTCCTCTTCCATCCCCCCGTCGATACGCAGCTCGCCTCTTCTCTCCAGCGCAAGCCGTCATGGATATGGACATGGGCTCGGGCATGACCGCCACCACGGCCATGGACATGGCATCTGCCACCACGGCAGCCGGCGCCGCTGCCACTGGCGGCGGCATGGACCACGACATGAGCGCCATGATGGGAAAGGGAGGGCTCTGCAAGATCTCGGTACACTCAACCCAACGACCACAGATGCCCCAGCTACCAAGGGCCAGCTAACCCCAAACTACCCTCGCAGATGCTCTGGAACTGGAATGTCATCAACACCTGCTTCATCTCCAAGCACTGGCAAATCACCTCCAGGGGCATGTTTGCGGGTTCCTGCATCGGCATCATCCTGCTCGTCATCGCCCTGGAGGCTCTCCGTCGCCTGTCCAAGGAATACGACCGCTTCCTCATCAAGCAGCACACGGCAAAGTTCCGAGACGCCTCCTCCTCTGCTCCCATCGCCCTCGCGGCCAAGCCGGCCAAGTCCGAGTCCGTCACCAGCCAGGAGGCGGCTCGTCCCGCAGGCGTGGCCATGCCGCCCTTGCGCCCCAGCGTGCTCCAGCAGGCCATCCGCGCGCTGCTGCACGTGGCTCAGTTTGCGGTCGCCTACTTTGTCATGCTGCTGGCCATGTACTACAACGGCTACTTCATCATCTGCATCTTCATCGGAGCCTACATCGGCTCCTTTGTCTTCCACTGGGAGCCGCTCACCGCTGGGTAAGGAGCAAGCCATGCGGGAAACGTGGAAACGTCACACCCTTCGCCTCGTTTTGTATGCTGACCTGTCTTGTAGCTCCGACGAGAAGACGAGTGCCACGAGCTGTGCTACCGTCTGCTGCGGTTAGGTGCGGGCTGCTGCCTTGCCACGCATCGCCTCAGCGACGAATGTCGAAGTCAGCCGACTCTGGGCTAGAAGAGTAACGTATTGCGTGGGAATGGCAAGCAAGGTGGATTTGGATCAGGGAACCCTATGTCGTCAGAATAGAAACCCATCCAGTTATGCGATATGAGCGTGGAATTATCCGGTTAGGGACAATATATCGAGTACATTTGACATTTACAGTCCATGTCTGAACACATCTTGCTGGGTACAATGTTAACCTGGGCTTGCCTCATTTGAATGTCTCTCGTCAAGATCATTCAACTCACAATGCTAAAATCGAAGGCATTAACTCGAAGGAATTTTATATTAAAGTCCCCTGGATGGTATGCATGTCCATATACTAATCCCCGAGTTCAAGCACGTCTGCCGGGTAATCGTGCAATCGTCCACCAAGCATCGACACTGTGCGGATCGCATCAGCCTTATTACCCCAGCGATCCTGACTAATCGGAGCAGAACAAAAAAGCACTTCCGGCTGTCGCCTTTCCGAGCTGGTCCGCCCTGTTGCTAGAGGAAGGTACATACAGATTATCGTACGAGGCACAGTGCGCAGAGGGTATAAATTAGGCCAGTCTCAATGTACACAACTTACCGAAAACATGCAGCCCCTGCAGCAAATCGGCACCGCCGCCTAACGCGGGCACAGTCTTCGTCTCCCCGTGCTGATGCTGCATTACTAAACATTCAACTTCACTCAACCACCATCGTTGTATTATTCGGTATCAGTATCCTTTACCTGCATCGATATCGCGAGGCTACACGCAGCAAGTCGGGTCTCGCTTGAGCCGGCGGGTGACCAATCACAGGAGCATCCCGTGAGAAGCTACAGATCATCAGCAATTCCAAGTCCGCGTCACAAGTCCTCTCTCAAGGGGCCAACCAGAGGCCATGCCCTCCATCAAGCATCTGCTGTCGTCCAAGGTGCGGTCGCAGTCCGGCTGCTACACCTGCAGGCTCCGGCGCAAGAAGTGCGATGAGCGCCGTCCCGAGTGCTCGGGGTGCGCCGCGCTGGAGATCACATGCCACTACGGCGACACCAAGCCCGACTGGATGGACGGCGGGCCCAAGCAGAAGGAGATGGCGGAGCATGTCAAGGCCCAGGTCAAGAAGCAGGCCAGCCGGCGCCGGGACCGCAAGTATCTCGACCTGCTGGAGTCGGGCACGCGCAAGGTCAGCCTGAGCGACGACGGGCCGGTGACGGAGCTTGACCGTGACCACAGCCGGGACCCGGACCGCGACCGCGAGCGAGGCTACGCCTACGCGACGTCGGCGCCGTCCACCAAGGAGTCGCCCAACAGCCACGCCTCGGCCAGCACCGCCGGCACGTCGCCGCCCGAGATACCCTGGCACAGCCAGACGTTCGGCGGCGGCGGCGGCATCGACGAGCAGGCCCAGCTGGACCGCTCCGCCGACATCCACTACGCCTGCATGTACCTGGACTACGTCTTCCCGCACCTCTTCCCCCATTACCGCCCGCACATTCTCGTCGGCGGCCGCGGCTGGGTCATGGACGCGCTGCAGTCCAACAACAAGTCGCTCTACCACATAACCGTCTCCCTGGCCTCGTACTACTTCGCCCTCATCCTCAACAACGGCGAGCCCCAGCACGAGGAGTGCATGAAGAAGATGGTCCACAACCTGCAGACGCAGATGGAGCTGGGCCTGCGCGAGCTGCAGCGCGAGGTCAGCGCCCTGCACAGCCGCAAGATGGACCAGCGCGACGGCCTCGTCGTCATGGAGAGCATCATCCAGCTGCTCATCTTCGAGGTCGCCATGGGCAACCGCGAGAACTGGAAGCTGCATCTCGACGCCGCCATCGCCCTGTTCCGGCAGATCCTCCCCGATCCCCAAGGCTGGGAGGAGATGCTCTACGGCCTCGCCAACGCGCGCTGGCCGCCGCCCGAGATGGGCATGAAGCGGCCCTGGAGCACCAGCCAGGCTGCCTGCAGGTTCTACACGGCCAACCTGCTCTACGTTGACGTGCTGTCGAGCGTCACGCTTGCGTGCCCGCCTCGACTGTACAGCTACCAGAACACCATCATACCCTCCTGCGCCAGATCACAATGGAGCCCCTGCACCATGGGCGAGGGACCTCTGCGGATGGAGGAGTTCCGCGGGCTGCACAACTGGGTTCTCCAGGTCATTGGCGACATTGCATCTCTGCACGCGTGGAAGAAGGCGCAGAGCCTGGCCGGCTCCCTGTCCATCAATGAGCTCCTGTCACGGGGCACGGTGCTGATGGACGCCATCAAGGGGGGTGTCATGGCCATACAAAACACCGAGCCACGGCCAGATACGGTGGCTACCGTCATCTCCGTGCCGGTCCTCGGCGAGCAGCCGTCGTATGCGATGCACAACACCATCTGGCTCAACGCAGCCCTCATCTACCTGAACACGGTCCTCACGGGCTGGCAGCCCTCGTGTCCCGAAATCAGCATCGCCGTGTCCAAGACCACAGACATGCTGTTCAACCTTCCCAGCGGAACCTGTCTGGGGGCGCTGGCCTGGCCGCTATGCGTGGCCGGCTGTCTGGCCCCTCCAGAAGATGAGGTCAAATACAAGAACATAGTCGCCCGACTCGGCGGGCTGCAACCCTTTGGGACGCTCAGGGAAGCCATGAACATTATGGAGCGGGTGTGGGCGCGGCGGCCCTTGGACGAGAGCTGGGATGTTGCGCAGTGCATGAACATTCTGGGGCACGGAGTTGTGTTGCTATGATACCCTTGTTGGCGTTGCCATTTTTCTTGTCCGGTTTTGCTAAACTAAATACCTAGGCTTGCTCTAATTCATCATTACTCGGTCTTGCATGCGCTGTATGTTGTGTATTGCAATGCGAAGCTGTCTATATTCTCAATCAACTTTCGATGAATGTTACTTCAATCAGGTTCTCTATACATGTGCCCGATTGTTCATCTTTTTCCTTTCTGATTATTCCAAAGGACAAATGCCCAATTCCAAAACAAGTCTGAGTCTAATCCACATCCTGTGTGTTCTGTATACCAAATCATCCATATTCAATCATTATTTCCGTCCCTATTACACCTTCATTGAGTCATGAAAGCCGGCAATGGAGGCAGCGGCGGCATCTCCTCCACCGGACGTCTCGTCCTTCTCTTCATCTTGACCCTTTTCGCTGCCGCAGGTGGCGGGGGAAAGTACGGATGCCGGTCGTCAAGCAGACGACGACGGACAGCAGGGACAAGATTCGCATCAAGAAGACTTGCGTCGAACTCGTCGTCGTCGCTATCAAGATCCTCGTCGTCATACAGCGACCTGGCATCCCGCTGGTGCTGCGCCTTGGCCGCCCTCGCCATGGCCAACGTCCCCAGGCTCCGGGCCTTGCGGACGACGACCATATCCGGCCGCGCTGGAGACGACGGCACATTTCCCCGGGAGCCATCGCGGCAGGCGTACCCTCATTCGCAGTCGATCGCCTTGCGGGGCCCCTGGTTTGCGTCGCGGCGGCAGCGCTTGAGGTTGTTCCAGAGGAAGACTGCCGCGGCGGCGGACGCGAAGAAGAGGAGTGTGCTTGCGATGGCGAGGCCCCACGTTGCTTTCATCAAGTGGCAGGCTGATTTGCTGGGGCTGACGACGATGCTGCTGCTGGAGGAGGAGGAGGAGGAGGTGAAGAGGGAGGATATGAATGCGCTCGTGTTGCCCTGGTTGGGAAAGGCCTTGCAGGAGAGACGGCCGGTGGGTTTGCCGAGGAGGCAGGACGCGACGAGGAAGGCGATGGAGAAGGCGGCGTCTGCGGCGGTGGCGATGAGGAGGGGGAGGAGATGTTTCCAGTAGAGGATGGAGCTGGTGATGATGTATGACATTGCGAGGCAGGCCTTTTGGGCATCATATCACGCTCGGAGTCAGTTTATGTAAAAGAGCGTGTATGTAGATTGTTTGCAAAGACAAAAAATGGAATAGTGGAACATGGAAAGGGGGGAAAAGAAGACTTACAACGACCAGCGTGCCGACAATCGCAGATGGAGCAGCTGTTTTCTCTCCCACCACCAAACTGACAATGCCACTCGTGAGACCGATGGCGGAAAGCAGCGCCATGGTCTGCAGGAGCCTCAGGACCGTGAAGACGGCGCTCAGGACGCCTCCGAATCCTCCCGGCGGAGAAGAGGAGCCCATTGTAGTTCCGGTTGAAAAAGTAGAAATAGGAGGCGGAGGAAAGGATACTCTGAGGGAGAGCCTGGGACGGGTGGTGTTGACTGTTTTGAGGGGGAGGCGGTTGGCGTAGTGGGGGATGGGGGAGGGGAGGCGTGAGGGCGGAATTTTGGCGGTGTTGGTGTTCGACCACGGGGCCGAACTGATCAAATAAAAAGAATGAGAGAAGAAGATCAGATCAGATCTTGTTTAGAGTCTAAAGATGGAGATTTCCAAGGGCAAATATATGTGAGATCGTGAGGTAATGCTGTTATGAAAAAGCTGAAGAAAGGCGTTGAAGTTGGTGTAAGACGTGAGTCTGATGAATATATCGTGAAGCAATGAACCGAACGAACTCAAGAAAGAAAGGGAAACAAATCTGGAAAGGTAGAAGAGAAAATAGGAAAATTCGACTCAAAGAAAAGAGACAAAAGGAAAAATGAGAAGGAAATAATCTGTATAGAAGGTCGTGAATGATGAGAGGAATCAGAAAAAAAAGCCAGCACAAGACCCCAAAGCAACTTGCTTTATATCAACGCAGCACCAGGATCAATCGTCCCCCAGTTCGATCGACTATTTTGCCGCGCCCAAGTGACACGAAAAGGATAGCCGCGCTCACCGTTTCAGGCCCCAGCTCACCGATCTTCACGCGAGCACTGGACAAGATGCGTACCCCGTCCTGTCTCAAACATCATGTCCTCGATCCGCCGCGCTTTTTAAGCGCCGGCGTGGATCCCGGCAGCCGGAGGATCGCGCCCCACCGTCCCGTCGATTGGCCCGGAGAGATTCGCCCAACCCTGTCCGGCATCACAGCAGCAACGGGCAAGAGCACCAAGTAAACGAGGATATTGAGGCTCAGCTGTGGTTCCGTTTCAGAGGAGCGGCTGCATTCCTGGCCGCATGTCTCTGATCCAGCTCCGAGTGTTTTCTCGCACTGATACGGGCCGGGTGAGGGATGAGATCCGGTTGGCTGCTTCAACTCGTTTTGCATTGCCGATTCATCAACATAACGCGCCGTAAACGCCTATCTAAAGATTCCCAACATGACAAAATGCCTGCTTCCTCGTCGCTTGCATTCAATGGCCTCAAACACTTCTTTTTGTCCTACAATCGTCCCCCCCTAACATCCAGCCACCACGCTCATTATTTTAGTCCGTTCCCCTCCCCTGCCCTGTCCAGTACGTACGATGACGTGAATTCTCCCTCAAACACCGGTGGTTCGTTTATCCAAGCAAATCGCCAGAGGCAGAGCCGCCTTGTGGAGCGGCCGGAGCGGGTGCGGGTGCTCCCCAGATGCCAGCGCTGCTCTTCTCCTTGGCCAATTGGCCCAGGGCTGGCCCGGCAGTGGGAGTGCTGGGCTTCTTGATGCCGGCGCTGGCCTTGCCCCAGAGAGCACCAAAAGCGTCTCCGCCGGCAGCGGCAGCTTTGCCGTTGGACTTGCTCGCCGGCTGCAGACTGGCGCTGGTGGTCTGGGACGAGACTGAGGACCCCGTCGGCTGGGCCTGGACAGTGCCAAAGTAGTTGGGGCCCGTGGGCTGGTAGCCCGTGGGCTTGGCGGGCTGCATTGGCACGCTGAAGGCTGAGCTTGCGGTAGGCGTCGGGTTGGCGCTGCTGGCTGGTGAGATGGACGCGAGGTTGACCATCTGGTTGATGCCGGCCTGCTGCGGAGCCGACAGCGGCTTAGGCGCAGCGAACTGGGTGCTCGAGTAGTTGGGCGAGGTGGGCGACAGAGGCTGCGAGAAGGCTGATGTCGGCGACATGGGCTGGGTCGTTGTCGTCGCCGCCGGCGCCGGCGCCGGGGCGGCCGATTGGAAGTCGTCAAACTCATCGTCGTCGTCGTTGGCAGTGCTGGTGGGGGCGAGAGCTCCCAAGCCGGAGCTGCTCGACGGCGCGGGAGCAGACGAGGCCGGTTCATCAAATGAGAATAGGTCTACCTCGGGCTCCTTTGGCTTGGGAGGTGGCGCTGTGGCTTTCTTGGGAGTTGAAGTCCTTGGAGGACGAGAGCTGGCGGCGGGCCGGTCGCCCTCGTCAAACTCGTCGTACTCCTCGAATCTCTCGGAGCGGTTCTGGGTGTCGCGGAAGTCGTTTGCCTGGCCACCGAAGCCGCCGCCATCGCCATATACGCCGCCGGAATAGCCGCCGTATTCAGCGGAACCACCACCGCCACCACCGTAGCCGGACTCGTTGCCGAAGCCGCCAAAGCGACTGCCGCTGGAGAAGCCGCCGCCAAACGTCATGCCGCCCTCGACGCCCGTGTACTTGTTCTTGGTAACTCGGGCCTTTTTGCGCTCTGCGCGGATCCGCTCGACGTCGCCCAGGAGCTCCGCGAGTTCCTTGGCGCGATTTCGAACGTTGATGCCCTGGTCCTTTCCGTTCTGGTCGATGAAGTGAAACTGGCGCAGCATCTTCAGCAGCGTAATGTGGCCACGCGCATCGTCGATGACGCGCTCCGACCCGTGCTTGATGAGGAACTCGAGCAGCTGCAGGGCCTTGTAGATTTGGCGCCACTCCTCGGCGGACTTTTCGGTGAATCGACGGTAGATCATGGGCATGATCTCATTGAGTTGCTGGCTGCACAAGCATTAGAGAGAGGAACAGGACCCCGGGTGTCCGAGGGCAGACGCGTGCGTACTAATTGAAGGTGCCATTGGCAATCTCCTGCATCAGGGTGGATGACGCTCCCCAGGGCTCGTTGTTTGTCGCCTCTCGGACCTGGCGCGCTGGGAGTCAGCAAGTACGCTCGCTAATTAGGATTGCAATCGCCATCGCCAGTAGAAGAGCGCACCTTTGCTTCCATCTCGGTGTAGTTCATGACGGCTAAGACAGATCGAATCGCGTCAGTATCAACCTCCCCTCCTGGTGAGCAGCGCCTGGGGCCAGCGGAGGACGCCTCATACCATTTTGCGCCTTCCGGAACCCGGCCTTGAGGTCGTACAAGGTCAGGTTCGAGACGGTGTTCTTCAGGTCATTGAAATCCATCTTGGCGAGCGGACAAGGACAGCAGACCGAGGCAGAAGATGGCGAGAGGAGAGGAGAGGAGTCGAGTCGAGGCGAGGCTCAAGATGCCAGAGCGGGTGACGAGACTCTGGCACTTTCCACTTTCCACGGTGTTGCCGAACGTGGACACTTGGACACTAATTGGGAGCTAGGCCGCAAGGAGCGCTACAGTCACGTGATGCGTATTACCTGATTGGGTTTAATCGAAGAAGGTTGCTGAGCAAAGGACCGTGCATATCCTTTGTATGTACGGTGCTATGCTAACAACAGGTGGGAAGAAGGATTCGGCTTGATTGCAGCACAGTGAGGCCCGTAGTACAAGTATGCTATTGCTGGATCGTTTGGCAATTTCAGCTGTTGCCAATTGATGCGATGCATTTGGATTATGCTATCAACCAAGACACGTTTTTAGCAGCGGTCCATTAACGGGCATCCGATCGATTTTCTCTGCCAAACGCCCGCTTCACCGACTTTGGCAGGCATTACTAACACAACGCCCGGCGGCAACCTGAGACTTCAGGCCAGAAACGGTACTTTGTGCTCAGTAACTGACATCACCCAAATTTTTTCACTTCTCTGCTGGCTGTCCCATCACCCCTGGTCTTCCAAGCTACCTTACGTCTTCTGGTTGGATCTTTTTGCGTAGAGTCAAGCATCACCATCACCATCAACTGCTTGCCCACTGTAAAGTTCTGTCTGACCCAAAGGTACGGTGCACCTGTTTCCTTCTGTCTTGCGGCTTCCCTGCCCTTTCACCCCAGAGTCACCACCCTTGATGCGGATGAGATGAGCCATCAACACAGCACACCTCGGCAAAATCACCGTCGGATGAAGCCAACGTCTGGGCAAAACGGTCAGGGCACAGAAGCAGGAGCAGGACCAGCAGCCCGGATTGCCACCACCCAGCAGTGACACCGCTCAACTTGGCCCTTTCTCGAACCGGTTCTGTTTTTCTCCTTTCCCTGCTCTCTTTTTGCCATCGTTTGCAACGGCCAAACAGCCAGTTTTCCTCAGAGGCATGGACCGAATGATAGGCGGAGCAGCTCCGCCCGCGCGAAGAGGTTGGAAGGGCTCCCTGGCTCGGCCGTCCAATCAGCGCGGGCCTCTGCCCACAGCCAGCCTGCAGCTTCCGGCCGCACACCAAGTCCCCGTCACGTCAGCTCGCCTCTGGCGCTCGGAAGGCGGCGAAGCGGTTGGCCGTTGAGCGGGATTCTGGCTGGAGGGCCCGAGGGGGATTGAGCCATTGCGAGCTCTGCTGCGGCCGGTTTCAGCAGCTCTGAGGGACCTGGCATGGCGGCACGACGCAATTGAGGCGCTGGCTGGACGCTGGGAAAAAGGAGAGGGAGCAATGACTGGTCCCTGTTTTTGCCACGGAAGCTCTGGAGCTTCTGCCAGGTACCTCTTGAGCGACGTCAAGCTCCGGGCTGTTGTCGCGTACGAAGCACCTTGTACCTTGTACAGCCTCTCGTACCCTGGCCTGCCACGTGACTGGCTCCTCTCGTCGCACCCCACCCGTCTCCCTTGCTGCCGCCGTCCGACGTCCTGATTGGCCCGCACGCGTTACTAACGTTACCCCTCCAGTCACGTTCAAAATGAGATCAGCTTTCTTCCAACCCCTCCTACCCCGCCATAACTTCTGCTCCCCGGCCTCAAGAACTTTCTCTCTCTCTCAACGCATTACCGCTTCTACCTCCTTTGCGACTCCGAGATTCTACTCACAGCCCGCCAAAATGCCCAACACTAAGGTGTAAGTCATCTTCCACAGCTGTCATCAGCTCAGCTCAGCTCAGCTCCCTTGCACTCGGTTCCCCCTCTAACACAATCATTTCCAGTTACTTCGACATCGCCTGGAAGGGCCCTGTCTTCAAGGACGGCCGTGCCACCAACGAGATCAAGGGTGAGTCCAGGTCCAAATCCGCCCGAGAGAGCATCAATTCGCCCAGCAGTGGCCTCTGAGGACTCGTAAAGAGCAAGGTCGAGCTGCATCGACGAGCTGGCCTCTTCCATGCGCCTCTGCTTGTCTCTTCTCTCTCTTCCTCTCTTCCTCTCTCCCCCTTGCTCTCCTTTTCACCCAGCTCTGCCTTTCCGGCACCCACTGCACGCTGTCAATCTGATGGTGGGGACCAGCGGTGACGCATTGGTCCCCCCTTCTCCAATTATCACCTCATGCACCTGCACCTGTACCTCTCTCTATAGCTGTAGCTGTCGGATGGAGCTTGGCATTAACACGTCCCTCACCGCAGAGCAAACCGGTCGCATCAACTTCAACCTCTTTGACGACGTTGTCCCCAAGACCGCCGAGAACTTCCGCGCTCTCTGCACCGGCGAGAAGGGCTTCGGCTACAAGGGCTCTTCTTTCCACCGTATCATCCCCAACTTCATGCTCCAGGGCGGTGACTTCACCCGCGGTAACGTATGGACCCCCCTCAAGACAGACAGCCACTGCTACAAGACGCGTCGAAGATTGACTCCATTTCTAGGGCACTGGCGGCAAGTCCATCTACGGCGAGAAGTTTGCCGATGAGAACTTCCAGCTGAAGCACGACCGCCCCGGTCTGCTGTCCATGGCCAACGCCGGCCCCAACACGTAAGTCGCGGCGGAGGAGATTGCAATTTGCATTGATTGCGCACTATACTAACGCATCATCCACAGCAACGGCTCCCAGTTCTTCATCACCACCGTCGTCACCTCCTGGTTGAACGGCCGCCACGTCGTCTTCGGCGAGGTCGCCGACAAGGAGTCCATGGCTGTCGTCCAGGCCCTCGAGGCCACCGGCCGTGATGACGGCAAGGTCAAGTACGAGCCCCGCCCCACCATTGTCGACAGCGGTGTCCTGTAAGCTTGTGCAAGGAAGCAGAATGCTCTGTAGGACCATTTGCTGGCAGTTTGGGATCACACGATTATCTTGGGCGGCTTAAATAAGGAGCCTCAGAGCTCCAGAGTGATATCTAGAAAAGTACCTCGCCATATCCTTTAGCCAATCATTCAGGTGCTGCAAAGCATAAAAAAAATAACACATCGTTGCGTCAAATGTGAAGATTGTGAACTGTTCGTGCCTGTCAACTTGTAAGAATTCACTTCTATCGAATTGCCAATGCCTCGCATTTACGTTTGAATCAAAGTAGACTCGGTAGACTGGCAGTGAGGCCAAGACTCGTGCCTCTATTCCAAGTTTATCCTGTGTTCAATCATGTGCTATACTGAGCCTACCTCCCCAAAATGCGCCTGCCGAGTATGTAGAAACAGATGAGGATATATACAAGTCTCCTGATGGACGCAAGGGGTAGATTCCATCCTTGTGAATCCCGAAACAAGAAAGATCCAACCGACGAAAGAAAAGAAACTCCATATGATGCAAAATCCGACATTGTAACAACGAATGCCCCTTTCGTCCCTGCACTTTTAAAAGATGTCCTTGCCCAGCCACTTTTGGAAATACTCGCAATTGCTCGGCCCCACGGGCCCTCCCTCCTCGCACAGGTCAAAGACGGGACACTGGCCGCAGGGCGCCTCGGTGAGCGGGCTGACGTACAGCTCGGGCCCGCCGGCGCGGCCCGTGGGGTCGTCGCGGCCGGCCCAGCTCTCGACGGACTGGCGGGCGACGCGGGAGACGCGGTAGCCGACCCTGCCGGCGACCTTGACGGGCTCGACGAGGTTGTCCCAGACGAGGACGTCGACGAGCTTCTTGACGTCGCCCTCGGACAGGATGGTGTTGTTGGTGATGCCGCTCGAGGAGAGCAGGCGGGCGATGTCGCGGACGGTGGGGTAGGCCGTGTAGCCCGCCGGCAGGGGGAGGAGCGCGGGCTCTCTGCGGGAGGAGGAGGAGGAGGAGGATGTTGTAGGTGCTGCGGCTGAGGAGGATGTTGTTGTTGTTGTTGTTGTGGCTGGCTTGGGATTGCTGGGCTTCGCTTCCATCTCGGAGGCATCGCGCTTCTTGCCCTTGGGCACATCTCCGCCCTTGATAATGCCCTTGCTGGGAGCTTTGCTCGCACCACCCTGACTCGAAGAAGAAGAAGAAGCAGCAGCCGCCCTCGCATGTGTGCTGTGATACGTGCTCTGCCTCTTGATAAAGTCAAAGACGACGCGCTGCAGGTCCTCGATGAAGGCCTCGTCGAGATCCTGGTCGGTGTACCACGGCCCGCCGGTGGCGCGGTCGCTCGGCCGGATGGAGGCCTTGATGTACATCTTCTTGTTGGGGTGCTCGACGTTCTTGAAGGGCGCGATGAGGCCCTTTGCCTGGAGCTGCTTGATTGCGTTCTTGAGGACCGAGTCGTGCATGTTGAGCCGCTTCTGGAGCGTCTGCGTCCAGATGCCGTCGCCGCCGGAGTCGTCGATGAGGGAGTAGACCATGACTTGTTCGTCCGTCGTGCACTGCTTGTACCTGGAAGACAACAACCGGGATTAACAACAAAAACTTTCATTGAAACTAACCCCCCCTCCCCGATTGCCCATCAACTGGAGGGGAGTATCGTTTTTGCAACTCACTTGTGCGCCTCCTGCTTGTCGCGCCACTTCCACAGCACCTGCCCCGACGCCTCCCTCATGGTGATGAAGAGCTTGTCGTCGCTGAGCGACTGCACCACGCGCGCCAGCAGCAGCAGGTCGCGGTTGGGGATCACGTCCATGCGCAGCAGGTCGTCCTGCGAGAACATGTCGCCCTCGTCGCGGCACCGCTCGTACAGCAGCTCCTTGAGCACCGCCAGCTTCGCCGCGTCGGCGTCGCCCCCGGGGGTCCGCGAGGGACCGGCGGCGGCTGGGGCCGACATCTTTGACTCTGGTGTTGGTCTTGATGTGTGTTGATGGGGGGAGCGCTTCTAGGAGGTGGTGTTGGCGGAGGTAATGGCGATACTTGTCGACTCGTTGAAGGATTCGCTGGCTTGTGGAAGAGGGTACAAGATATTGATCGCAGGAGGTGGACGCTGGGTCGTCGAAATTATGGCTCCGAGTCAAGAGTCAATCCCAAGGTGAGTCTTCGCTTCTTCTCCCCTCTGGCTGGGGGCTGTAACTCGATGGCTATGCTGGCGCTACATTGACATGGGAGGCGCAATTGATGGTAAAGGACGATCAATGTTCTCCTTTGGCTTCAGGTTCGTAAGTGTTCTGTTATCTCGTCAGCCGATAGCAGCAAAGATTGTTGAAATCGTTATCGTATCGTGGTGGGACACGAGGCTCTGACTTGGAACTTTTTTTTTCTCTTTTCTTTTCCGCCTTGCCGTTGCCATCATAACCTTAATGGAGGCGGGTGGGGACCTTGCAGCTTCTGCCTTTGCCTTGTGCCGGGAGAATCTCGGTGGCCGCTTGCTATGTAGGTACATACGGTAGGTGCCGGTACCTGTGCTTTTAGTGGGGGCTGGGGCCATTATCGTGAAGGCGGTCTCACTACTCCGTACCTTACCAAGGATGATGGCAAGTAGGGAGAAATATCGGACAAGTCAGACTTGGGAAAAATAGAGGAAACCGAACACTCTATCCGTTTTGTTTTGAAAACTTTGTATTCAACCATCTACTAGCAGTAAGGCGGACTTTCGTCGTTGAATTACCGTCGAAATACAAATCGGCACGCGCTATGGATATAGACTCCGTATAAATCAGAAAGCAACAAAGCAACAAAAAGACACAAAACAAGGCATTCACCCAGCGCTCAGCAGATGGTTCGAACATCTCACCATCTGCTGTGATATGGCTCGTAGGTATCCTTCACGCCGGAAACGCCTCCTTCGCCCAATTCCAACCCTTCTACAACGTGAACTGCGTCAATCAAATCGAAGCTCTTCATACCCCGCGTAAACCAATTCTCTGGCTTTCAAGCTTGCCCACCGAATGCTGAACGCTGAACGCCTCACTCGCCTGTATAGGCTTAAGCGGGCGGTGTGCTGGCCTTCTCCGGCTCGGCTTCGCCCTTTTCCTGGTCAACTTCCATGGCATCCACAGCCGCCTCCGCGGGCTCGGCCTCCTTCTCCTTGGCCTCAGATGGCGCCTCGGGGGACTTGGCTTTCTCCGCCTCAGGCTCCTTTGGCTCCTCTTGGACAGCAGCAGATTCTTCAGCAGGAGCCGCGGGGGCGGCAACCGCTTCAGGTTCTTCAGCCGGCTTTTCCTCCACCGCGGGACTCTTGCTGGGAACGTGCTCGGGTACTGGTTCAGGCTCGACGTCCTCCTTCTTGATCGTCATCTCGTCCTTGGGCTCTGAGTCAGCCATGCCGACGTCGCCATCATCGTCCACATTCTCCTTTTCGGGTTCTTTCTCCTTGACGGGCTCGGTTTCTTTTACCGCTTCAGCTTCGGCTTCGGCTTCCTTCTCCTTTTCGGGTTCTTTGGACTCGTCCATCTTATCCACTGACGCCTTCTCCTGCTCGCCTGCAGCAGCAAAGTCCTCGATGGTGTCATCGTTGATATCGTGAGCATCCTCCACCGCTGGGGCTTCGGAAGCACTGCCATTCGTAGCAACAGCGGCAGGTACAGGGGACGGGCGCTCGCTCTTTTCCTCAGGCTCATCTGTCCGGAAGTCTGTAAAGGTTCTCTTGTTACCTTTGGAGCGGGTCTTTCCGTTCTCAGCGGCCATGTCTTCATCATCACTGGCATAAATGTCGGCCCCATTCTCCACATGCTTGTCCCACTGCCGCTCCGACATTCGGACGTCCTTGTTCTCGTCTTCGTCGAGGTCATCCAGCTCGGCCTCCTCTTCGTCCGTCATTCCGCCGAACGGCTTGCGAGGAACGTCTTGCATCTGCACAGATGGCGCGGGGCCGGTATGACGCAGGTTGTCAATCACGGCAGCGGTGATCTTCTCCAGGTACTCTCTGCTGTTCGAGTTCTCCATGTTGGACGCTCGCACGTTGAGTTCAAAGTCGGGAGCATAATACTAGAAGGCCTATTGTTAGCGCGCAAGCCACGGGAAAGTTTGATGGCACAACGGTGGAACAAACCTCGTAGTACTCATTGTATGGCAGAGCCCGGTCCATCTCCTGGCCAACCAGCACGCCAGTCTCAAACGCCCAGGTTCGGGCAACATTGCGCATGGTGTAGCCACCACCACCGAGGACCAGAGTAGGCAGATTGAAGCTCTTGACGAAGTTGACGCAGTTGGCGTGGCCGTCCATGCTCAGGTTGAAGGCTCCCAGGCGGTCGCCCGACAGACTGTCGCCACCGCACTGCAAGACAACGGCCTCGGGCTGGAAATACTTCATGACGTTCTCAATGACCGGTTCAAAGATGGACTTGTAGGACTCGTCGGTGATGCCGTCGCGGAGCGGGAAATTGACAGCGTAGTTCTTACCCTGTCCGATGCCAATGTCGCGAAGCTCGCCGGTACCGGGGAAGTATTCACCGTACTTGTGAAACGACACGGTCATGACACGGTCGGTGGTGTAGAAGGCCTCCTCGACGCCGTCGCCGTGGTGAACGTCAATGTCGATGTAGAGCACGCGCTTCATGAATCGCAGAAGCTCGAGGATACCGAGGACGATATCTGTAGAGAAATGGTCAGCTTGGGAGAAGAACAGAAAAAGCTTATATGGTGACATGAGGGTGAACGCGCACCATTCACATAGCAGAAACCACTGGCTTCGCACTTCTTGGCGTGATGCAGGCCTCCGGCCCAGTTGATGGCGATGTCGCACTTCTGTCGGTTGAGACGCGCTGCGCCCTCCATACTGCCGCCGGCACTGATACCGCAAAACTCAAAAAGGCCGTCAAACACGGGGCAGTCATCGCCGACATTGTATTTGCCCTGCTCTCTCATGTAGCTATCCATGTTGTCCGGCGTGACCTTTTGCAGGAAGTCGATGTAGTCGTCGGTATGGAACTGGGTCATTTCGCCGCGAGTGGCCGGTTTGGCGCGCTGTTTGCCTTGTTAGCATATCATGAACCACGAGGCCACCATTGCTGGGCGACTGTCAGATGGCAACCGCTGTGCGTTACATACGTAAATCTCCATCTTCTGGTACAGGCCGTACTGCATAATCAAGCTGTGGGCCAGTCGAATGCGGTGCGGCTTCATGGGATGGCCGGTGACATAGGCATAGTTGCCAATGTCGGAATCGTAAAAGTAGGCGACCTTCTTCGGTGATGACCCGTTGAGGGCCACCGACCCGAGGCCCGCCATGTTGCTCTCGCCCATTGGAAAAGTTGCAGCAATGCAAGGAGCTTGCTTGTAAGAGAGCGCGGGTGTGAAAATGCGTCAGTTGGCGGGAATCTGATCAATGTCGGGTGGTAAGAGTAACAAGTGGGAAAGTAGAAGAAGCAGCGATGCGATTGATGGCAGAATCAAGGGCGCTTCTGCATATTTGTGGGTGAGAAAAAGTGAGAGAAAGTTGTAGAAAAGGTGAGGAAACAATAGCCGAAGGATGTTGTATAAGGAAGCGCGCCGCCCCAAAGTTTAGCAGGCCGAGAGGCGTTGCACTTGGGCCTTGGTGCTAATGCTAGTTGCAGGCCGGTAAAGGCCGGATAAACCTTTGCTGCGGCAAGGCTGCGAGTCCGCCCAAGTTTGGCAGCCGGGATGAAGCTCCAGCGACTTCTGATTGGCTCTTGTAAGAGACGCGGTACTTGATGTAACTGATATGCCACGCGATATACCGACTTTTTCGTCAAAATGGTCTGTAACTCAAATGCTCAGAGTCTCTCTAAACAAGGCCTAGATACATACGGTAGTAAAGCCTAAACAAATGAAGTTCTCTTTAGGAAGAAGGACTTGTCCATTGCTCGTGAGGCCCAGAACCCAAAGTCCACGATTGCCAGAGCAGCACGTGATCCGATTATTCAGCAGCTCACCCCTGTAGCAGGCTGCCGAACAACTGCGTCAACTTGTCGTGGCGGGACACTCTAAGGTATCAGCAAGCTACTAAGCCAACGCCTGGTTTCGCAGCCTCCAACCACGAGCTTTCATCATACACGCACCTTTCCTCGTACCGCCCCGACAACCTTTCAATCCCGATACTACCGACCTTTCTTTTCGTTATTCTCAACCCTTACAGCCTCGATCATGGAGCGATTCAGGAATCTGCTGGGTGGAGGTGGCATGGGCCTGGGAGGAGTTACGCCTGGCACTGTAAGCTTTGATTCCGTCACGATACTGCTGGGGAGCTCCCTTGTGCCCGCTGCTCCGGTCCATCGGAGCATTATGATGGATTTGGCACAGAGAGCAATGAGGCGGCAGTGGTGAACTTCGAGGAATCGTGCGGCTAATGATGGTCTGCTTACAGGATAACACCAGTCTCATCGACAACTCGGAAACCGTCTACATCTCGTCCTTGGCCCTGCTGAAGATGCTCCGGCACGGCCGCGCGGGCGTGCCGATGGAAGTCATGGGACTGATGCTGGGCGAATTCGTCGACGATTTCACAGTCAAGGTCATGGACGTGTTTGCCATGCCCCAGAGCGGTACCGGCGTCAGTGTCGAAGCTGTCGACCCTGTGTTTCAGACAAAGATGATGGATATGCTGCGGCAAACTGGGAGGTGAGCTCATACGGGCGACGAGTAGCCAACCGGCAGAGGAACGCTGTTACAATCATAGAGGGGATGGCTAACGGAGGCGGACAGACCGGAATCCGTCGTTGGATGGTACCACTCACACCCTGGCTTTGGCTGCTGGCTTTCATCGGTGGATATCAACACTCAGCAGTCATTCGAGCAGCTTAACCCGCGCGCGGTGGCCGTAGTCGTCGATCCCATACAGTCAGTGAAGGGCAAGGTCGTGATTGATGCCTTCCGGCTCATCAACCCCCAGCTGCTCATGATGGGCCAGGAGCCGCGTCAGAGCACGAGCAACCTGGGCCACCTCAACAAGCCGTCGATCCAGGCGCTGATCCACGGACTCAACCGTCACTACTACTCGATCGCCATCAACTACCGCAAGACGGCGCTGGAGGAGAACATGCTGATGAACCTGCACAAGCACGTGTGGACGGAAGCTCTGGAGATGGACGATTTCCGGACGGAGGGACAGAAGAACAAGGAGCGGCTGCAGAGGCTGGTCAGCCTGGCAGACGGCTACGAGAAGAGAGTCAAGGAGGAGACGGAGCTGACCAAGGAGCAACTCAAGACGCGCTACGTCGGCAAGCTGGACCCCAAGAAGCACTTGGAGGACGTCGGCCAGGAGCTGATTGAGGACAACATTGTGTCGGTGTCGAGGCAGATGATTGACAAGGAGGCGACGATGCCCAAGAAGAATGGAGCGCTAGCCCAGTCCAACGGCGACCAGATGGAGACGGAGGAAGAGTTATAGACGAGTAGCATAACAGGGAGGGCAGCCATTACGACCACTGGCTCGCACTAGTGTTTTCTCCGTGCTGTTGCTGCTACATGCTCTTTTTCTTACACGCGCATAACATGGTTCATGTACCTGGAGCACGCTGGTCATGGGTTGGCACAATAGAGGGGACGGTAGAAAATATTGGCGATCGAGCCGCTGTCACAGTCAGAAGTGGAAGACGCGGGGCGTTGAGGGAGACGCAGCCTTGGATGATGGATTCTGACACGTTGGGAGGACTTTGGGCTGGTCAGATGGTGGTTCTGCGTGATCATGAGCCATTACTTAGCAGCTAAGAAGCACACACAGAGAGAGTGGGCGTGCGGTGCCCTGGTCGTCGGTTTTTGTCGTCGCTTCCTGCTTCCGGGAGGAATGCGTAGGGCCCCCTTGCACCGGGGCATGAAGCCGTCGTTGGGCAGCACGATTCATGACATGTCACTACACCTTAACTTGATGATTTTTCTTGTTAACCATGTTCCGCCTTTTCGAGCGATGATCTTGCTGACGTGTTGGTGTGAGGTTTGGGTGTGGTTGAGCAGTACTAACTAATACTAGCTGGGCCTGGGCAGTAGAGGTGTGATGGTGTTTGTGCATCTCATGAAGAATGCAGTGCTGTTTGATGCCTGATGTAAAGAGTGCCTGATAATTGGTAGTAGTAGTAGTAGTACTATTGGGAATATTTTCTGGTGGTGCAGATGATGGGAGGAGGATGCTGCTGTACGATGCTACGACTAGTAGGATCTGGAATGGAGAGCCTACATACTGTACTCGTACTTGCATGTGTGTGCACCGTCATGTCACTGTCGTCAACGTCGCCGCGTGATGTGCCTGCTGAGTAAACCGAGTAACACTCCATGCAGATGCAAATCCCAACAAAACGAAAGGACAAGACGACGAAGAGAGAATATCACAAAGGATATACAGCATGTTGTCGTCCATACATACACAGCAGCATGCATGTACATGTAATCATCAGCAGCCCAGGGAGTATAACCAAAGGCAGACACATTACGTATTTTCGTCTTCCTGTTGAGTGTGTGCGTGTGTTTCGCCACTCACCCAAGACATGCTCGTGTCCTCGCTTGGGCAAAGATAGCAGTCACACGGCGGGTTTTGACATCAGGCGGCGCTGGTTCGATTGGCGACGACGCTCCTCGCTCGCGCACGCAGCCCCTCTTCGCTGCGGTCTGGTGCTACTAGTATAAGGTAATAACTGACTGCACTGGGTCGACAGAAGCCTGTTGTTCAACTTGGGGTTTCTGCAAGAGAGGGGAGGGGAGAGGAGAGGAGGGACCCCTGGAGGAAAAAGACGGAGCCAGTGGTTCAACAGGGGGCTGATTCATCGGCGTCTGCAGCGCCTCCCCCTTGTAGGTATGGGAGTACATACATGTGGCTTTCTGTTGTTGACGGCTCTTTGTTTCCTTGTTGGCTGCAGCTGCGGTGCGGCTACTGCGGGCTTGTGTGATGCGTGATGCAGTAGTAGCTGGAATTTGATACGCGTCTGGATGCATGGAAAACTTTTCAAGATTTACACTGTCGGTGAACAATCCTTAGATGGATGAAGACATCCTCACGCTGAAAGTACCGTACCCAAGTTTCAACCGCGAGGCACCTGTGACAAGACCTTGAACTTGCACGTCTCTTCCGCTCGGCGCTAACACGAGGACCGGAAAACAAGTGCACGAGAAAGAAAGAAAGCGGACACGGACTGGAGAGGACAAGGTCAAGGCCCAAAGGCAAGAAAGAAACAAGGGCCCTGTGGAACAGGCCAGGATTCGCTGCAGCACATTTGATCCATCTGCTCCAGTCTCTCTCTCGCGCGCATGCACGCACACAGGCCTCTCCCCCTGTCCGTGCAGCCGCCACAGTGCGCAGGCAGTGTCCATACTCATCACCACGCCCAATGCATGCGTACGCCCAATATCATCAGCTCAGCCCTCTTCCCCGGCAAGTCACCGCGGATTGGAGGCGCTGCGAGCCACTGCAGTAGCCGCTGGCACCAGCTCTAGGGGACCCGAATGGATTCGCTGGTGAGGCCTCAACCTGCCCTGCGCGGCGGAACCCCAGCAGCAGTTGCGCGAAGGAACCCGCCAGCCAGGCTCAGGCTTCACGCCTTTGTGTTCCCCGTACAGTGCAAATGACGTGCAGGGGGGGAAACGCAGCCCAGCGAACGCTTTCGCTTCTGCGCTTTGCATTTTCCCTTGCTTGAAACAAGAGAGAGAGACAGGCGTCTTGACGTTCACTCTTTTGGCTCGTTCGTTCACTCGCTCGTTCAACCACACGCTTTCTTCCTCGTTGTGTCCAATTCAATCGGCGCTGGGGGAGCCATGGATTGAAGCCGCGGCTGCTGCTTCTCTGACTTGCGCGCAACTCTTGCGACTTCCAGCTGCCGCGCACCCACGAGGGGACACAGACGGCTTCGACTCGTTCTTGTGTCTTCCTCACTCTTCACGCTTCCGCTCTTCACTCGATCGTAGCGGCTGTCGGCCCTCGCAGCAGATCCGCCCGCCTGCCCCTGTTGCCGCTGCTGTCATCATCGCCGTCGCCATCACCTGCAGGAGCCACAACAGCAAACGCAGGAAAAATTGAGGACAAGAGGGCAAAAAGACAAGGACACCGGCATCGCATCTCTTGTTCGCATCCTCCCCTGCGGCGCCGGCATTTCGTGCGTCTACATGCGCAGGGGGGCAGCACGTCTTCAATACTATTCCGGTAGACCGAGTTGCGCCGTGGTTGGCCTTCATTGCAAGCGCTCTGTCACGGCTCTAGACAAAACATCTTCTACCAAGTACTGCTATATGGTGTTACTGCAACGGAGTAGTCCAACTCAGTGGGTGCAGAGAGACAGAGAGTAACATCGAAAGACTATTCCCTGCTGCTTGCCTCTCGTGCTAGGCGGGAGTAGTGAGTGGTAGTGCGGTCACATTACCCAGCGGCCATCCCACAATCTGCACATCTCTCTATTTACGGCGACAACCTCCAACTCTCCCGCTTCCTCCTGCTCCCTCTCATACTAACTAGCGCCACCATCGCCTTCTACCAGCGACCACGCCGAGGTGGCCGCGGTGGTGCTGGCAGATTGACGACGGGCTGGTGAAACCACCAAAAAGCATTGCCTGTCAACCAGCAGAATACCAGCATCGACACGATCCTCAGCGTTACTCGTACGGTCAGCATCGGCGTCAACAAACATTGACTGGCATTGGAGCACCCCGATGCCTTCTTCTCCCGAAACTGCAAATTAAAATCGCAAACCCTCACCCTCGAGTCTCGCAATCCGATACCCCCTTCTCAACATCAGGGCATCATGGACGTCGCCACGGTCAACGAGGTCGTCGACTGCGTCGGCCGCCTGTTCGACCACATCCCCTACGCCGTCTGCGGAACCGCCGCCCTCATCTACTACGGTTACCGCTCCTACTTGCCCGACCATGTCAGCATCACCTGTCCCGAAGAGTCCAAGGAGGCCATCCGCTGCTGGGCGCTGGCCAAGGGCATGACGCCGTTGCCCGACAACCCCGACGGCTTCAGCGTGCGCGTCTCCAACGGCCGCTCGTGTCCTGTGTGCATCAAGTTTATGAAGAACGGCTTCGAGGCCCTCGAGGTCGTGCGCATCGGACCCGGCCAGGCCAGCATGGTGACACTACCCAGCATCGCAAACACAATTGCTCGCAGCTACGTCTTCCGCCTGCACTCGTCGTCCACCGACCGCCAGGCCCTCTACGCGCGGTACTTGGCCTGGACCCTCAAGCGCATGGCCGAGATCCCGCCCTCGGACCCCATCCAGCGCCTGACGCCCGAGCGCGCGCGCGACATCATCAGTCGCTCCTTTTGGATCCCCTTCACTCTGTCGTACCCCGAGACCGTGCCTCTCTTTGCTGCCGCCGGGCTCGAGATCCAGAGCGACGGCAGCCTCAAGGCCTGGCAGCAGACGGACGAACAGACCATGGCGCCTCCACGGCCGCGGGCCCGGACCACGGCGAGCCACTACAGCCTCAATAGCTACAACAGCAGCCACAGCGGCTACAGCAATTACAATTATGGCAGCAACGGCAATACTTACAACTATGGCAACAATAACAACATGTACGGTCATGGCCGCAACCACAGCTACGGCTACGGCCAAAACTATGGCCAAAACTATCACCAACACTATGGCCAGAACTATGGACAAGACTACGGTCAAAACTACGGTCAAAACTACGGTCAAAACTACAGTCATAACTATGGCCAAAACTACGGTGCAAACTACGGTCAAAATTACACATACGGCCAAGGATACGGCCAAGGATACACAGACTACGACCAGGAAGGGTACGGCCAAAGCTTCGCCAACAACTACAACCCAGCCTTCAGCCAGAGTCAGACACACCACAGCTACCACGACTCGGACCTCTCAGAGTCCGAAAACAGCACCACGCCTCCGTCTCTTCGTAGAGTCACGAAGCGCCTGCCAAACGCTCGGCCGCTGATGACGTCCAACATCTCTTCGCCGGCCACCTCCGACTCGGGATTCTCACAATCAAATGGCATGGTCTCGCCGCAGTATTTCCTCTCGCCGCCCATGACATCGCCCGCGTCTCGCATGCCTCCGCCACCTTTTGCACCTTTCCATCGTTATAACCCCTCGGACTCTACGCCTCATATACAGCCTCTGGGTCCTCCGCCTTTACCGAGGAGGACACGATCGAATCGCCACGAATCAAGACCTTGGATATGAGATATCAAGCCAGTCATTCTCCTCTCTCTACACTGACCCAACAATATACCACCTCTCCCCCGATAGAGGATACCATCATAAAAAAACGCACATTTTGTTTTCTCAGCGAACCCATTTACTTCAATCTATCGATCTCGAATTCTATTTCACCGATTAACGCTGGACACGTCTCGGACCGGACCACCAGATCTACGGATCTTGGGTTAATTTTATTTGTCAATTTTTCCTTTTCCTCTTTGTGTCTGTTTGCTTTTTTCCTTTGTACAGCCTCAATGGACGAGAAATCAGTTTGGCCACGATATCCCCTTTTCTTTTTCTTTTTCTTTTTTCTTTTTCTTTTTCCTTTTCCTTTCCCTTTCCTTTTCTTTCTTCTGTTACTCTTACACGACGGATTGGAGTCCTTTTGTACCAAAGAATGAACGAAATGTTTTCGTGATGGGTCCAACGGATATGACCAGGAAAGAGGGTCTTGTTTGCTTTTGTTTAACTGCATATGGCATGAGAGGGCTCTTAATCTGGATGATTGAATTTTTATGGCAATGAGAGGATATCCTAGGATGATGATAAAGAGACGGATTGACGATCCTTGAAGAGGGGGAAGTGAGACGTGACGACGATGGGAACAAAGATCATCACAAGAAACTCGAGAAGAGAACGAAGACACAGAGAGACACGAGGACCAAGAACCAGAGAGGCCGCGGTATTGCCTGCGGACTTTCAAATTACATGCATTCATACCCATAGATTGATAGTTCATCTATAAAATAGAAAAAGAAAAGAGGGCGTCACTGGGGAACAAGCACCTCAGTCTGCCCAAAATGATGCATCAATCACGATTCGTCTTCAACTGCCCTATCAAATTCCCACCGCTAGTCTTCCATTCCCTTGTTCTACAAGATGGGAGCAAAGTTGGATACAAAATAAAGCAAATAATAAAAATGACGCTCTCAGAACCATTTCCCAACCCGGTTCCTCGTTACTCCAATACGCCTCCTAGAACGGCATCAAGCCGTGTGCGTCCTGTTTGACGCGGCGGGCACGTTTTCCGCATGGTCCCCCGCGCTCTCAATGCCGGATCGTGAACTGTCACATATGATCGAGTCATGCTCGTCAGCCGGCCCCGAAGCCTCACTCGCCGCCGGCGACATGTCCATGTCGAATATACCATCCTCGGCAGCTCCGTCTTTTGGCGTAGCAGGCCTCGATGGCCCGACCACGTTGAGCTCCTATGCTCCCATGACGGGAACCTTCTTGCCTCGCTTGCCCAGCAGCGTTGCGTTGTCGAGATTGAGCTCGAACGCGCCCTTTTGGCGTTGCCTCTCCCGCACCTGCTGGCGTGCGGCAGCGGTCACGGCCGCCGAGTGCTGCCCGTAGCCTCGCTCGCTGGCTCGTTCTCGCTCCCGTCCTCGGCTCTGGGCGGTGTCATGGTCCTGGATGTTGGCTCTTTGCATGCTCTGCTCCAGGGCCCGCGTCTTGTCGTTGTGGTGGGCGGACTTTTCATCCACGTCCATGTTATCGACATCGCTCTCTTCTTCTTCCTCGTCCTCTTCTTCCTCTTCGTTGAGGCCACCGAGGGGACGTCCCGCACCGCCGGCCCGCGCTCCAATCTGCGCTCTCCTCTTTGCCTCTTCCTCCTGGCGGTGGACGGCATAGCTGACATCGAACACCTCGCGAAGATTGACGGCAGCGGGAGATCGGAAGTCGTACCGCTTTCCGTTCTCTTCAAACTGGGTGGCGGCGAACTGCTTGAGCGGCACCATGCCCGGTGCCTTCTCGTCTCGAGGCGTCGGGCCAACCTCTTGGATCCAGGGGTGAGCGAGGAATTCTCTGATGGTGTAACGCTTGTCGGGATCCACTGTCAACAGGTGGCTGATAAGGTCCTTAGCCGAAGACGAAATGTCGTCCCACCATGGTGACAGGAAGGTGTACTGGCCCTTGGCAACCTTTTCGGTGAGCACCTCGATGCTCTCATCGTAGAAGGGCGGGAATCCGCAGAGCAGGGTGTAGAGCACACAGCCAAGCGCCCACATGTCCACCGACTTGGAGTATCTCTCATCCTTGACGATCTCGGGTGCAGTGTAGCCAACGGTGCCACAAGGCGTCATGGTCTGTGCCTCCCAGACGATCTTGGACAGGCCAAAGTCTGCAATCTTGATCTCGCCGATGCCGCCGGCTCCCAAGCCGGGGATGAACTCGCCCTCATCGACCTTGTCCTCGTCTCCGGGCTGCTTCGGCTTCGGGTGCTTGGACGGAACAAACGGTATCGGGTTGAAGAGGATATTCTCTGGCTTGATGTCACTGTTTATGATGAGTCAGCACGGGTCGCGCACAGGTGTGCCTTGTGAGTGGACAAGGGGGGGAGGCCATGACGTCAGGGGCGGGACCAAGACAACCCCTGTCCCACTACTTTTGTTTTGTTTGGTTTGGGGCTGCTTAGAAATGAGACGAATGTGCTGCCGGGAAACGTACCGATGGACAACGCCTTTCTCCTCGTGCAAGTACTCGAGCGCTCTGGCGACTCGCACGATGACATGGCGAGAGAGCTCCTCGCTGAAGTAGGTCAGTCGTACGATTTGGTGGAATAGTTCGCCACCAGGAGCCAGCTCCAGAACGATGTAGTAGTACTGCTTGGACTCGGAGAATTCGATGAGCTTGATGATGTTGGGGTGATCGAGCTGGCGCATGATCTGGACCTCTTTGAGAATGTTGGAGCGCTATGGAACCGTTAGCACAATCTGTCGTTGCGGCTATCGTCTCCCTGCATCGGAGGCCACGACTTCTGGCCCCGATGTGTACAATGCGTACCCTCAGGGCGAGGGACTGAAAGTATGAAATAGTCTAAGGAAATTTGTTTTCGCACCTCTGCAGCCTTTGGTATCTTCTTGAAGTCTGGATGTAAATGTTTGTTTCCCTATTCAGGGGAAACCCCTCTCCGTGGTTGGTAAAAGCGGGATAGAAGCGAGAAAGCAGAAACAGATACAACGAGCCAGCTAAAAGGGAGACCGGCTGTCACGGAAGAAACAGGCAGGCAAACAAGCAAGAAAGAACGAAAATGACAAAGCAAATCGATCAACTTACTTGCATGCGATTCATCTCGTACTTGCGCACGACCTTGATGGCCACTTCGCCATGCTCTCCTTGCAAATCGCGGGCACGATAGACATTGCTGAAGGCGCCGTCGCCCATCTTCTCGAGGAGTTCCCAGCGTTCCAGGTCGGGATACTTGGGGAACTTGCTCTTGCTGGCATTCTCCTCGGCAATGATCTGAGCCAGATTCGCCTCGTCAATTTTCCTGCTCTTGGGGCCATTGGCTTGACCGGGCTCGACATGGTGCGCTGCGGCATGGCCAGCCTGCGCAGCGCGGTTCTGCTGGTCGTTGGGCGCTTCGGAGTATGCTGAAAGCGGCTCCTGGTTTCCGGGCGGCTTGCCGTACAGAGGACCTGTTGCCACGGTCTTTTCAGGAGGCGGCTGTGGTACGGGCTGGGAAGCGGCGTCACTCTTGCGTTCGTCGGCGAAATTGGCAGTGCGTGCTTGCTTGCCTAGAATCAAGATCTGTTAGTCATGCATTGCGTACTTGGGAAGAAGCATGAAGCATCAGCTCCAGATGCTGAAGGTCACCAGGGGAGGGGAGGGGAGTGAGAGTAGAGTAGCTGGCAAGGGTTGGTCATACCATGGCGAATAAAGTTCTTGAGCTGTTGAATGGTCGACATGGTTACCGAGAGATGCCGCTGGCGAGCGACAGCGCGGCGAAAAATGCAAGTTGGAGTGGGCGAACTGTATCCACGATGGTATGGCTGCGCGATGCGAGAGCTGCTTCTTTTCGAGTCCCTTTATAGTCGGGCGTGTGTAAAAGAGAAGAAGTTGTAGATTGAAAATGAAGAAGCCGAGTTCTTTGGCAGGAGCTCAAATTGAAAAGAACCAGAGGCAAACCAGTAACGCGATGATGTCTGATGGCGCTTTTGTTGTGCGCGGAGGCGAAGTGCGATGGATGATGATGCGGGGTTTTGAAAGGAGTTTGCAGTGTAGGCGAGCAAACAGGGATGCACTTTTTCTCTCTTGTTTCCCTTCTTCTGTTGACCGTCTAGGTGAATAAAGGCTCTATGATGGAAGTGCGAACGGTGGGGGAATCAGAACGGCAAAGCGATGTGGAGGATGGGAAGGGGGAAGGATTTGATCGCAGGTGAGGGCGGACGTGAATGAAGGAAAAGAGAGGAAGACGGAGGAAGTACGAGACAGAGGAAGAGAATCGCTTTTAGCGGGCGGCAGCTGGTGGTGCCGGGGCCTGTTAGTGACTCTGATGGATGGTTCCGGCGCGGTCAATCAATCAATCAGATCCAAGGTTCAGCGCAGTTGAGTTCAGTTCAGGCCAAGGTGACGTGCGGCTGCTGCGCCTGCAAGAGGCTAGGCTTGGTAAGGCAGAGGGGACTTTGGGCAGCTTTTAGTGGCGTTAGCCGCTGCAGCTGCACTAATAGCGATCGAGGACGCCTTGGCAGCAGGCAGGGGGAGAGAGACGTGAAGTTGAATGATTAATGATTGGAAAGTAGGGAGAATAGATTGTAGGGTGAGGGTGAGTGAGAAATAGATGAAAATAGTCCTCTTTTGTTTCAACTCTGTACGAGTTTGGATTTCCAGGTTGATTTCATCAAGGTGTACTGTACTGTGTCGACGTCAAGTCCAGCGGTGCAGGGCAGTGGTTATGACGCACGCAGGCGGATTGCAACAGCTGCTTGGTTGCTTTCACCACCCAACCCGCCTCTACCGCACTGTACCTTGGCTGCAGCAGATGCTACTCCCACCTGCAGGCTATTTGATGTCAAGACACCGAAGAACAGAACACCAACACAATACAGCATCCTCCAACACCGACAGCAAAGCCAGAAAAGGCACAGCAGCGTCGCATTCAATCTGTCATCTGCAGGCAAGCAAAAACCTGGAAGCCAAAACGACACGGCCTTACCGCTGACCGGGGCGGGAGCCGTGCTTACAAGGGCGCCTGTAACCTTGAACCGGCAGCGCCTAGACTCGTTTCCATTGCCGTTTTCTGCTCGGTAGATCTAGACCTTGGAGCGTGATGCAACGCTACGGGTCGAGACCGCAGTCAAACCGCGGGGTGGGTAATCAGCTGCAGAGGGCAAAGGACAGATTCCTCCGTGATCCCGGGCGATGGCTACTAATTGATCGAGGTATTGAGTGAGTATCGCATCGCACAGCCGGTGGCGAGGCACAGCAGAAGCGTGTCATGTCATGTCATGCACAGAAACACTGCAGACTGACTGATGGATGCCCGTCAACAGACAAGCTGACTGTTGGGTTGGTCTGCTCTGTCCAAGCAAGGACGCGGACACATGCATGAGACAATGGACGGTAGACCAACAGTAGGAAAACCAAGGAACCAGCATCTCGTCCACTGCCAGGGAATTCATGCATCGAGGTACGAGTATTGGAAGTACAGATGCGAAAGGGGGGTTCATCAGAAAGCATGGCAAGACAACCTGATCTTGACAAGTGTACTGTACAAGTACTCGTACGTCTGCTTGTACGCACATGAATGACCGATGCCAAGACCACGAGCGGAAATCAAATCTCTGCCAAAACGGAGCAGATGCATCATCGCAACACTTTTTTTTTTCTGCTAGCCGCTCAAAGTTCCCGGCGCCGCCGCAATACCTCTTTCGACTAACGTATTTGGCATGCGCTGCAAGTACCGGCTACATCACCCAGCAGGGCATTTCTTACACTTTTTTTTTTCCTGCCCTTTCTCCCTTTGGCGGGGGCGCGGCTTGGATCCGCGATAATGACGCCGCAGCCGACGTCATCCTTGCGGCGCCACGCGACCTTCGGAAGGGCCAGGACACCAGACACCATGTTTTTCTGATGCCATTTTCCCTGCTTCCACTGAAACTAGTAGACTCTTTGGCGGTACCGACGGGAAGCATCACGTTTGATGGTGTCTTGGGGCCTAGATCGAGTATTTATCAAGCCACGGCAGTTGTCTCGGTGAGGTGCCTGAGATGATTCAAGTTGCGCGATCCAGGGCCGGCTGGAATGTGTTGTGTAGACACGCCACAAGAGAGATGCCGAGAGCTGGATTACTGATATCTGCAAAGGACGGCACAGATATGAGCTCGACCATCTTCGGTACCTTTATGTACATGTAAGAATCCAAAAACAGGGGGAACATCCATCTTCATCTCCAAGCCCTCGATCAAGCTTCCTTGGCCCGTCGGGCATGCATCACGCCGGCGACGATCATCCCGGCTTACATTACGTCCCTTTCGTACCTATGCATCGTGATAAGAAAAGACGGAAAAAGACGAACGAGACCAAACAATAAGGGGACAAATAACAAACAAAAGCATCGCAAATTTGCCATGAATCCTTTGGGCCATCTGGACTAAACATCGAGGGCGCGAGGTCTCGTTACGATGCAGTCATCGTGCGTCACAGTGGGCCTCCGAGTCTAAGCCGTCATTTTACACGTTCCGGTACCTGATCATGGACCTTGTTTCGACATCACGGGGTAGCGCCATCTCGTATGCAAAGCACAGATCGTCACAGTCCAAGTATCTCCTCGATGTGAAACTCTATTTGCATCTCTCTGGACTGCCACCATCGTGAGGCTATCGTAGGGGTCGATTTCAGCTCCGGGTTGACGCAACGCTGCTTGAGACATGCCTCCCCTGCTTTCACATGCTTCGCGGACATTTGACTCTCCCGTCAGAACCACTAGGCAGACAGAGGATATCAAAAGACTGATTCAGCTGCTACAGTACTAACAGAACGTTGCTTACCCTCACATTCGCAGAGTTGTCGCTTCAATGCACTGTACATAGCAGCTTGCGTATCACAACTGGCACGCACAGGCGTCTCCCCCCCAAAAGGGCGAGATTACCAGACACGGGCAGCCATCGAGTCTATCTGGAGGCCAATGACGTTGAGCGTTTGCTGCGCGGCAGGGCACATAAACTGCTGATGTCATGGTGCAACTCGTTCCAAGGGATTGGACGTCTGACGTGCAGAGAGACCTTGGACAAAGCGTACAGTATCAATCTACCATCACAATGTATTGGAGAGGAGAGCGTCAGGTTCACTTTGCGAGCATTTACTTGATCAAGTAACATACCTAACATGCAGAACGAGGTACTGTACATACCCGTGCTGTTTGAGACGTCTACCTATTCCTATTGAAGAGGAGAAGACACAATCGTCTCTCTCCAAGTGAGTCTATGCTATCATTTGCCACGCAGATCTATATGCAAGCAGCATCATTCCGGGGGACGACGAGACCGGACTGGCGGGACTCGTTCCCCGTCCTGCCCGTTCTCTCCGACGCCACGTCCCCTGACGAATAGAAGTTGCAGTAAATGGATTGGGTGTGTGTTGTCTGCAAGATGCATCTGCCCCGGAGCTTCTCGGCCGGCGGTGACCCTATCCCCAGGTATTGTCCACTTGGTGGAAATGCATCATCTGTGGGAAAGCATTGGGACTGATGTGTAAATTCTGGGACCAGCTATTGCCCTTCCCTTTTGGGGGTATGTCACTCTTATTATTCGTTGGTTGTCTTCCCTCAGGAAGACACTACCCACTTGTCAGTAATCATCTGGGTGCTTGTGGACAGGGGTGAAGCAATTTCTCTACTTCTGACTTCACCATTTTATTTAGAGCCACGAGTTGTAGAATGCTACGATTTCACAAGTCAAGATACAGTCAACTACAAGCAGATTTGCAAGGGAAATCGCAAACCCCTGAGCAGAGAAAAGCATATATAGGTAGCGTGTAGAACTTCATGAGGCTTTACAGTGTCCTCAGCTATAAACAAAAGATTTACCAACAACATCACAGAATCCTGGACAAGGAAAACCAGTCATGACGAGTATCAACTTGAGGACACTTTACGGTGTCCATGACAGATGTTGATGACTACATTGAAATGATGGGAAATGCCTTGCAGGTTGGCAACTACACGCCCGATCTAAATGTGCCATCGTGATTCAGAACCCATCAACCGCACTCGTGAGCTACGCCCACCTCAGAGCTTGTACAGTCGAACAGAAACCCCCTCCCTCTCCCCATGCGCAATCAAAGCCTTATTCTTCCGCCCGTAAAACACCCTCAACCCCAGCGTAACGGCCACAACAAAAAGCAAAAAGCCCGCATTCGTCCAATGGCCCGTGGGGTACCCCTTCTTCGCCTCGTCCGCCTTGTAGATCCACACGCCGGGGATCTGCCCCAAGCCTCCGCCGATGCTCACGTTGATGGCGATGGCGAGGCCCGTGGACGCGGTGCTGACGACGTTGGACGTCAGCCAGCCCAGCATGGGCGGGATGCTGGCGAAGGAGCCCGCGGTAGCGAGGATGAGGCCTCCGTAGCGAGCCTTGTACGATGTTGCTGGGAGAGCGGCCGAGACGATGAAGCCGACTGCGCCCACCAGGGCGGCCCCTGCAGCGTGATAGCCGCGGGCGTTGAAGCGGTCTGCTGAGATTGCGACGAGGACTTGGCAGACTGCCAATCACGAGCCCTAGTCAGCCACACTCGAACTGCTTGTTATCTGGACGTTATGGGGGGAAGCTTACCGTAGGCAACCGCCCAAGGGGGCACCGTCATGAGCTGCGCCTCCAGGTCGACATATCCAAGACCGCTCGTGATGGACGGCGAAAAGAGACTCAGACTGGCAAACGGCGGGCTGACGGCGAAGTAGATGGCGTAGTGAGCATACAGACGCCAGTCGGTGAGCGTAGCTTTGGCGTCTTGCCACGTCATGCTGGGATGATGGCCCTTGCTGCCCTCGTGAAAGAGGCGCTGGACGGCGAGGTCCTTTTCGGGCTCGGACAGCCAGGTGGCGCTCTCTGGGTAGTCGGGGAGGAAGAAGAGGACGAGGAAGGCGGAGAGGCAGGACGGGATGCCTTCGAGGATGAAGAGCCAGCGCCAGCCGGCCAGGCCCTGGGTCTGGTTCATGTGGCCGATTCCATAGGCGATGGCACCGCCAAACTGCAAGTATCGGCAATGGTCAGGATACGGTAAGATACGACAAAGAATGAGATTGGGCTTACAGCGCCTGCTAACGTTGCCGAGGCAAGAATAAAGGCCACTCTGATTGAGAGGCGTGCAAGTCAGCAGTCCGTATCCAAGTCAAAGGGAATCGTCTCAACATGAAGCTCACCTCACGCTTCGCTCATCGTGACGATACCAAAAGGTCAAGTAATAGACCAATCCCGGGAACAAGCCCGCCTCAAACACCCCCAGCAAGAACCTCACCCCCGTGACAGTCCCGAAGCTGTTCGTGGCACCCATACACATGGTAATGATGCCCCAGCAAAACATCAAAAAGGCCAGCCACCGGCTCGGACGCAGCTTCTTGAGCAGGATGTTGCTGGGCACTTCAAAGACGGCATACGCAACGAGGAAGACCATGAGGGCGACGTTGAACTGCTTGTTGCTCATGTTGGCGGTGTGCTGCAGGTCGTCGTTGGTGGTGACGTTGAGGACCTTTGCGTTGCCAATGTTGGCGCGGTCGAGGAAGCAGAGGAAGTAGATGCCTGCCGAGATGGGGATGATGCGGATGTCTTGTTTCCAGAGGAGCTTCTTCTCTGCCTCGGTTATGGCGCCGGATTGAGATGGCGGGATGTCCTGGGAGATTGTGAGTTAAGAGAGCTTGTTACATCTTGTAGAGAGTGATGGTCATACATCTTTGAGAACTGCAATTGCTTCAATCTCTGCTTTTTGCGAAGCCGTGGCTTCTTCCAGTTTTGCATCCATCTTGAAGAGTCAACCACTTGCGACTTCGCCTACCAACTCAAGCCAAGCACAAGACTCAAGTAAGGGACGCCTCTAACATAGGAAGGAAGTAATAAAGAAGAGAAGAGAAGACAAGAAAAGAAAAAACTGAGAGTCTCGGCGAGGAGAGACAATCGAAAAGCCGTTACACCGTCGCACCGCCATTGCAGGAATGCGGGGGAGGAGGAGCTTCATGCCCGTCCAAGACACACCAGACGCAGGGCCTCAACTGCCGAACAGGGACGTTGGTGATAGCCGGACGAATCAAGCTTGGCCGTTGAGAGGCCGGCGGTGGAGATTGGCGACACTTTGGAGCAGTTCTCAGCTTGTGCCGGACCCCTGCTCCTTCGTCTCGTCCCCCCCGCGGGCAGCGTCACATCGGGGCTTTCTGGGGAAGCGAGGCTTGGCCGGCCAATGGTAGGGGCCGCAAACAAGACGAGATGCGCATGTCTGGGGAGAACCGGCGGTGTTGGCAGATGCTAGTGATAAGCGAGATGGAGAGCGCGGAATGGATATAAGGTTGTAAGAGGGGTGATCTGGGGTAAGAGTATTAGTTGTGTGTTGTCAGAATAACGATAAAGGAGGGTGTCCTTTTGTCGTGTCACGACGCCGGTGATTGACATGCTAACCTGCAATTTGAAAACATCAGAGTCCTATCAAGGGTTCGCTTCAAATGACGATTTCATATACTCTGAAGATAGAATTGGTGGTCGATATGGTTCTCATCGAGAATACACTCCCAGCAAGGCCGTCAAAAATGCCAAAGCGTCAACCCCTACAAAGTCCGCGACGCCAGCCAATAACCAAAGTGTCCTACGTTCACTGGTGCCAAGCCAAAGTCAAGGTACCGTAGATGCAAACTGCCTCTGTCAAAGCCTACATGTACCTTATCTGACAGTAATCAAATAAGGCCAGACAGTTTGCCGTGTCTGAAAATCGAGTCCCTCCGTTCATGCATTGGAGATGTTCGCCCTTCAGGGTAGGATCGAGAGCTCTGTGCCTCTGCGACTAGTATCTGATCGTGGTGTGTCGAGAACAAAATCTGAACAGACCCAGGCATAACAGCCGTCCATATTTCCCAATCACAAAGGGAAGTCAAAGACTGAGGTTGCCATATCGGTGTTTCGCCAAGTGTCTGACTTTGTAAGAGAGCAAGCCTATATGTCCAGATTGATGACGATTTCACGTCATTAGAAGTGTCTCCAAAATCTTATATTGCGTTCGTATTTGCTATATGATCCTGCTGTTCCGGTGGTATAATAATAGAATGATGGTTTGACCCTCACCACCCTCGTCATGATCCATTGAATACCGCGTTTCATTCGCTATCACGTTAATGGTATCCTATCCGATTGACGCAAACTCAACAGGCACAAGCTGTACGATTGAGAACCATTCATGCGGTGTAAAGAAAACATCAGATTGATTTCCATACAACAAGGGACTGGCTGGCCAGCACCCCAAGTCCGTTGAGGAAAGTGAAGGTGCTAGATTTCCTTCACTCTATTTATTGGCAGTTGCAACATATAGCAAGACCAGAGATACAGACAGACAGTAACAGAAAGTAAAGGTCTTATCTTCTATTATTGTCAGTAGTAACACTAGCAGTAATACATGATAACCAGAGATCTGCTGGGATACTCGAAAACCAAATTGGGATGCTGGCCTAGCCACTCCCTGTAACAAACATTGATTTGCGTGGCTTCAGGATGGAGAATGACAGCGTTTGGCTGTATGTTGCTTGCAAAGTAAATGATAGAACCCGAGAAAGAGAGCAGTTACACATTGGATACATGTACATCTACTCTACTTCCTTCTTCTAAAGCTCTGCCTGACCGGGAACTCCGACGTGGACCTCGTCTCCCACCAAAGTGCCCCGTGCGCCCAAGCCATGTGAGTACCTGGTTTTAATGCTTGGCCAAACTTCTCGCAGGGGTCGATACTCGGACCTCCGAGGTATGGCGTATCGTGCGGCTTGCCATCTTCTATACCCAAGGTAATATCGAAGTCGGAAAATGGGGTTGTCTTGGCGGCAGTTGTAGCTTCTCGCAGGTCCCGATGTGACTTACGGGAGTGGGAAAGGTAAAAGACGTGCCCAAGAAACATAATTCCGGCTAGAATGGCAAAGTTGTCTTGGTCTCTTGGGAAAGCTGTCCGTGTCGACGATGGGAACGAGAACAATGTCCAGGTCGAGGAAGGACATGGGCAAACATCTGCTCTGCAGCCATCAGTCATGTGTTGTAGATGACTGTATAACGAGTGTATGTAGCAAAGTGATGTTATTGAAGGAGTCAAGTGTTCCAAGACGACGTTGTGCGTTGGTTGTTCTTACATCAGGTACTTAGCCATAATAACAATGATGGTCAAGACGTATGGGCCATCCCTTCGCAATGTGAGATTGCTGAAAGACCAACTGACGGATTGGGCGGTGGCAAAGAATAGAGAATCACTGGCATACAGGATTGCGTCTTGGCGACGCTTGATCTCGGAACAAAATCACGAAGCCAAAGGCAACTGTTCGAATTTTCCATGCTATAAATACTATTACCCCGAATTCCTACAGGCTGAATCCTGTTCTTGTTACCAGACCGAACCTGGAAGCTCTCCAGAGACAAATGGCAATCGACATGGTCGAGCACATCAAATCCGAATGATGCGGAGAAGTATGTCCAGCACTCATCCAGGGACTTGACTCGGTGAACTTAATCTGACGACGACTGGTGAAGAGACGACGCTTGCAATGACTGATACACCAGAGCCGCCTGTTGTACATGGAGAGCGACATGTTCTGGAGTGACTTCGCCTTGCCGTTCAGCATCCCTCTGAACTTACAGTAATATCACGATGCCTGAGACCATCCTGACGTACCCACCATGATGGCCTCACTGCCGCTCTCACTGCGTTGACGAATCCTCCCATGTCTAGTAACCTCCTGACAAGCAGACCGTCCCTACGGTGAGCAGCTCAGAGGCGTGGAATGTCAGGCTGTGAAGAAAAAACACCGTATTGATTGTTGTGCCTCCGATCATCGCAGCTCGCCTGTTGGGCTATAGCTGTGCTGGCGTCACTAATAACATGAAGTCGGCAGTCGGTGATGCTTCGTCGTCTCCTCTTCTTTTTGCCGACATCATTGTTGGCGGTACTCCGTACATTTAGTGGGTCCCCAGTTCTCTAGAATGTCTCGGGGCCTTGAAATGAGAGCCGAGCGGGCGAGAGGGCGAAAAAAAGTTCAAGGTGGTGAAAGGCTCATTTTTCCGGACATGTGAATGAGAGCTACCTTGGTGAAAGATTGATCTGAGCGGTTACTGCGGCTGCAGTTTGCGATTGAAGTGCGGAGGAAATTGGGGAGCTCGATTGGTGCAGAAATCGGGATGCTGTCTGGTAGTACCTAATGATACTAGTAGTCACCCTGGAGTCGTCTCAATGCAGTGTACGAGGTGTGACAGCTTGTGTATTGACTCGTCTCTTCATCTATCCAATGCTGTAATTGATTGTGATTGTACAGCCAATGCTTGACGCTGATTGTCCCCCTCCAACGCCCCCCTCCATGAACCCCACGCTGAGAACAGAATAAACCAGAATTTTGCTCGGACAGAATGCCCCCCCGTCTACTCCTCCTCGTCTTCTGAGGGCTCAGCCGGCCAGAAGAACCATGTCACCACCATGAGCGCCTTGAGCGTGGCGGCAGTCCACAATGCGCCCGCAATGCCAAAGGAGCTGTGAGAAAAGATACCACCCAAGACAGCGCCGATGAGCAAAAGCGTGGGCGCAGCCGCCCGTCGGTTCCTCTCGGCGTTCTGAAAGGCAAACAGATCCTGGTCGGAAAAGAGATCGCAGTAGATGCTGGTGAGGACGACGCTGGTCAGGGCGTTGTACTTGAGGGCGCGGCTGGTGACGGCCTGGCCGCAGCTCTGGAAGGCGACGAGGGCGAGGGGCGCGAGGACGGTCCAGCCGACGTGGTCCTTGTCGGGGGAGGGCGTGGTGAGGGTGACGATGAGGGCGGCGGCGACGATGAAGAGCGTCTGGGCGGCGAAGGAGACGCAGAGGACCCAGCGGCGCTTGGGCGAGAAGCGGCGGTGGAAGCGGGCGAAGAGGAAGGATCCGATGCAGAAGCAGGCGAGCGAGATGCCCGACTTGTAGAGGCGCGCGCTGGTCGGGGGGTAGATGAGCGAGGCCAGGCCCAGGCCGACGTAGACGGTGTTTCCTGGTGAGGAGTGTCAGTTCTCTGGTGTTTCTGATGAGCCCTCTTGAAGGCATCACGCGATCCATCTTCCAGGCCAAAGTATCAGAGTCTGGATGGACTCACCCGTTTGCATCGACACAAAGGCGCCCCAAACCTGCGTCGACGCGCTGTCCAGCAGCCCTGTGACGACGTAGCACAGCAGCAGTACGATGTCGGCCCACGATCGCGACACCTCGGCCGTCATCAGCCTGCGCAGCCGGGACACGGCGGACCGCGGCTTGGTGGGCGAGCGCAGCAGCGGCTGCTCCTCGTCGCCGTGGACACCGTTGGGCACGGCTGCGAGCCGTTGGCGGTGCCGTACGTGGTCATGTCTGTATTGCCCGGAGATGGAGAGACGATCGGAATAGTATTCGTGATAACTAGAATCAGAAGCCAGATGGGAAGTGAAGCCTCGCCAGAGCGAGGGGGGACGGCTGCTTCTTGATATCCCGGGCAGGGGGTCGGCTAAGGGTTCAGCCCAATGCTACTCCGTACAATCAATCAATCGCCTGCGCGTTTATCTCGGCCGGCAGGATCAGGATCCAATTCGATTTGTCCTCGGTAATATTTGCTGCGCTGAAACCACTCTGAGTAGTAGACGAGAGGCGAATCGCATTGCGCAATAAGCTAAAATCGAAGCTTGAGCCTTTCTGCAGCGCCGCAAAACGGACCTCAGGCCTCGATGACACCCTGCGAGTCTCAGCTACTCCCAAGGCGGCCGGGGTCGTGATTGGGGGAACGAACTATTCTCCTGCAGCGAGGCCCGGCATCTACTTCTGCGCCGCTGACAGCCCAGGCACCGCCAGCGAGGCTCGAGCTCGCCATTGGCGGAGGCCAGATCTGGGCCCGACTCCCCGGCCGTTATTGGGTGCGATCCGCTGCAATCAGAGGGCCAAGAGCGGACTTGCTTCGGAATCGGTCAAGGCGCGGCGGCCCCTGCGGCGCGTGGCGGTACCGGATTGCCGTCGCGGTACTTGCGAGGCCCATGGCCGGCTGCGGGAATCTGCAGGTACCGGGCTATCAGGGAGTACTTCCCAGCTCCCGCTTAGCCCCTAAGGAGCCTTCCAGGTTGCCCGCGAGGTCCCGCTCGCACATCATCGCCAGTGGGCTGCTGAAGCAATGCGGCGCGACCTTGCCGATACACGTCGATGACGAGGATTCAGGAGGACGGGGATGGTACTGTGGATGTAGCTGTAGATAGAGGCTTGCGGGAGTCGGTGGCGGAGGCATGAATTGTCATACGACGGACACTCGACGCCTTGCTTTTATAAACCGGCCCTGCCCGCCATTCGTCTTGCCGGACCATCCTGAAGCTTCACCTGCACCTCTTCTCGCACAATTGACCAGCAGAGGAAGCTCGCCGCAGCATCGATTGGGCATTCCCGTGACTGTTTGACGGCATCTACAGCTCTGACCGGCATCGCAAGCAGTAAAACCACACACAGAACCAGCAGCAGAATGAAGCTCTCAGCAGCCCAATTGCTCCTCGCCGGAGCCAGCCTGAGCGCTGCCCTGCCGCACCTCGACAGCCCGCGCCAGCGCCTGCTCAACGGCATGGACCTGCCCGCCAAGTTCGGCGACGACAGCAAGCCCTACACGCCCGGCCACCGCGACGCCAACGACAACTACGTCGACGCCATCGGCAAGAAGCTCGACCCCAAGCCCTGGCGCAACGGCATGGGAGCCTCCGTCCTGGGGCCCTACAACCGCGACCGCTCGCGCCAGAGCCCGGACATGATCCGCCCGCCCAGCACCGACCACGGCAACATTGCCAACATGCGATGGAGTTTCACTGATTCTCACGTGCGAATCGAGGTATGTAGTAGCTCTCTATCTGCGGCATGATGTGACGGTGACGAGCTGGTCGAGGGACAAACCTGAAACTCGCGCGTCGCCAATTGATTCGAGTCTGTTGCTGACAACCCCTGTTCGCTGCGTTGTAGGAGGGAGGCTGGACCCGGCAGACGACGGTTCGCGAGCTGCCCACCAGCGTCGAGCTGGCCGGCGTCAACATGAGGCTCGACAAGGGCGTCATCCGCGAGCTCCACTGGCACAAGGAGGCCGAGTGGGCGTACGTGCTGGACGGCGAGGTGCGCGTCACCGCTCTCGACTACGAGGGCGGCAACTTCATCGACGACCTCAAGAAGGGCGACCTGTGGTACTTCCCCAGCGGCGTGCCTCACTCGCTGCAGGGCCTGGGCGAGAACGGCACCGAGTTCCTCATCATCTTTGACGACGGCAACTTTTCCGAGGAGTCGACCTTTATCCTGTCCGACTGGCTGGGTATGTTGCTTTCTACTGACGAAAGCCATGTATATGATATGCTAACAAATGCTCCAGCGCACACGCCCAAGTCCGTCATTGCCGAAAACTTCCACCTCGCCCCCGAGCTCTTCGACCACCTGCCCAAGGGCGAAAAGTACATCTTCCAGGGCTCCGTGCCCGGCGCCATCGACGACGAGGCGCCCAAGGGCAAGCACGTGAAGAAGTCCAACTACCAGTTCACCCACAAGATGCTCGACCAGGAGCCCAAGAAGACGACGGGCGGCCAGGTGCGCATCACCGACTCCAAGAACTTCCCCATCTCCAAGACGGTCGCCGCCGCCCACGCCGTCATCGAGCCCGGCGCCATCCGCGAGATGCACTGGCACCCCAACGCCGACGAGTGGTCCTTTTTCATCAGCGGCCGCGCCCGCGTCACCATCTTCGCCTCCGAGGGCACCGCCCGCACCTTTGACTACGTCGCCGGCGACGTCGGCATCGTGCCCCGCAACATGGGCCACTTTGTCCAGAACATTGGCGACGAGCCCGTCGAGATGCTCGAGATCTTCCGCGCCGACGAGTTCCGCGACTTTTCCCTCTTCCAGTGGATGGGCGAGACGCCCCAGCGCCTGGTGCTCGACCACCTCTTTGCCGACGACAAGGAGGCTGGCGAGAAGTTTTGGGAGCAGGTCAAGGATGCCAAGAAGGATGAGATTACGAAGTAAAGCAATATTGACGAAGGAAGAAGAGGAGGAGGAGGGGAAAAGGGCAACGAAGAAACCTCACGAAGAGGGGGAAAGGGGTAATGAAGATATTAACAGACGTTATTGTACATGTATTCAAACGTGGGAACGAGGACATTTCAAACAGTCATGTCAACTTTGGAGAGGGGCGTTTCATTTCTTTTTTGCTCAATCTATAACAATCTATAATTCTTTTCTGGTTACCTCTTGGGCCTCTTCTCACACGAGGCCATAGTGTGTGTACTTTGATTACTCTTTCGGGTTGACACAATGAACAAAGTTTGTTTAAGCATAAAGATAATCTTGTTTCTCAAAGTTCCCTAACTTTCCCTCTTCTTGCCCATGCTGCTACGACCCGATGCTCCCGGAACCGGGGGATGTTGCGGTTCGTCTTGTGTTTTGTTGGGGGTCAGTGTCACACACACACACAGGCACTCACGATGGGGGGATTCCATACGCACTCGTGAATATGCAGCTGCATGCATGACGCTACCAACCTATACCAAATATAAGGAAGCATGGGACGCATGGGCGGGAATACATGGGAAGTTTATGCACCGTATTACCTGCTATTTCGCAAATACTCTGTACGAGCCCATTCGACGTGATCGTGCTGGTTTCTTCATGTATTTGAGGTGAAAGGAGATTGAGATGATGCGAGGTGTGGTGTGGTGGTATTGTCATGAGATGAGATGATATGCAGTAAGAAAAGGAGAGAGGTCGGATATATGTCCGCCTTTTGCCGTGGATTTCCGTTGGGCATCGCGTTTACGAGATATTGGCGCCCTTTTAACAATGGCTCACGATATGATTTCCGTCCAAGTGTTCGTGTGAGGAAGACGGTATGGCTCCGATATGGCTTGCCAGAGGGAGCTGGTGAGGGTCCCCAAGTTTTGGCCCTGGAGTCCCTTATTGAATGGGGACATGTGCAACACAAGCAGGCCTGTCGTGTAATCATGTCATATGACATGTCCCTGAAGCACGCGTTCTCTCGGCTATATTCATGGAACCAATGGAGTTCGTTCGGTCGTATCACGATAGATTTGGCAGAAACGTGTGCGTCTGCTCCTTCATGTCGTCCGTCCTCACACTTTTGTGCCCTAGAATTTTAATAGAGATGTAAGAGTGAGCTGATCGCAAACACCTTCTCCTCCTCTGTTTACACGGGACTATCGGCGGAATCACCGCCCCCCCTTCTCATCAGCTCTGCAGTGGTAGGGCCCTTGCTCTTCTTGGAAAAGGGGGCGGACTTGAATACATCGGACTCAGCCCCGAAAGCCAACGGACATGATGCTGTAGCCTGGAACTGCGTATGGTGTAGCCGTAGAACGAATAGCGAAAACGCACTGCACTTCGGCACTTCTCCGTCAAAGCCTTAACCGCTTCTTTTCCCCCCTCTCATAGGCTGTCGTCAGTCTCCCCGGGGAAAAGCGGCCGTTCGACTGAGCACTCCCCTAGGACCCAGTATGCAGCAACCTGCAGCTCGGCCGCTATAACAACATCCCGCATGCTAAAACTGAAGCTTCAAAACAAAAGAACCCAATCTTTAATCAAACGCACTGCGTCTCGCATCTTGGGAGGAAATCATGCTTATCATGCTTCACAGATAGAGTTATGTGCAAAAAGTCCCGAGGCCACTAGAGAAGACCGCTAAATATTTCGCTCGAGATAAGGCACGCTTTTGGTCTGCGGGTGTCGACCCGTTTGGGCAGCTGTGTAAGGGACCTGGACCATCATCAGATCAGATTGGTATGTGTTATCTGCACACAAAACCCACTTACTGCAAAGTATGTACTATCAATGGGCACTTGAGGACGTTTTCCCATTCATTAATAGACCGAGATCTGGATTTCGTATGGGGCTGCTCGTCGTGTAGGTGGCGATTCTGCGTATTAGTAGTCCGTGTGTCAGATTGTCGGCTAGGGGGGTGGACGGCGTAAAGGAAGGCATCGCGACGGGGCAACAGCTCGACATTCATGCATATCCAATGTAGAACACTGCCCAAATGCGTCCAGGGCCGGCAGTTAGACGGAAATTGCGCCATAGACCCATAGTAGCATCGGAAGGGCTTGAGTCAGGCTTCTTGATGTGACGCTGCGAGCGGTTGAATAACCTCAGACCGGAGTAAAGTAAAGCGCGTTGCTTTGATAAATGTGCAGCCCAAGGGCCTCCATGGCTGTCTGTATGCCGATCATTGGGCTAAACGCGGACGCGAAAGGACATCCAAATCTTCATAGGCTGTTTAGAACACGAGGGGATCTCGGTCTAAAGCCGCGAAGTCCTGCAAGATGGGGGAGCTTTTGGCTTTGCCATGCGCTGGGGACAAAGATTTACGTGCCGAACTAGCTGTGAGATGGCCTCAACCGTTTCAGTGTGTTAGCAAGCGGGATATTCAACTGCTCCAGCACTGTTGAGGAGGGGGGGTGTTGGAGGGAGAGGCGGAGGAGGCAAATGTCATGCGAGAATGCCCGTGGGATGAAGAGGCGATCAATGAAACATGGCAACTCTCAACGTTACCACTAACACAGGGACCTCAGAGGCATGACAAGCTTGAGCCGGACTAAAATCGGCTTCAGGCAGTTACCGACATGGCCGACGCATGAGGTCTCCCACACGGGAAATTCTGTAATAGGGATTCATCCCACGGGCCGTATCGGGGGTATTGATAATTCTCCTCACCTGGTTGGTGTAGGGAGAATCTGAAAGGCTGCAAGAGACATGAGGCATAACGTGGATGGTGGGAGGTTCTGTAGTGGTGCCCATTGAGACGGTACACATATCTCTATCGTCTCATCAAAGACGGATATCAGAAGCGGGAGGACGGTTTCACTGATGGCCAAGCACCGTGATACGATCTCCAGGGACGATCCTTGCTGGATATAGGCCAACGTAATGGCAACAATAGGACAGGCAAACAGGTTAGTAGCTCGGCGGTACGACTGCGTTTTTGATGCTCTGTAAGGTGAACGTAATCTGTCATCTGCACCCCGTATTCTGCACCCTGCCCATACATACCGTACATGTGCGTGACATGAAAGGCCGGGCATCGTGTCCATGGGTTGAAAGCTTGGCAATAGCCCTGTATATAAAATCTTGGCCTCGAATCGTTTTCCTAGCCTGTGGGCTGAGTATGGAGTTGTCCGCAAGGGTACGGAGCGAGAGGAATAGGACAGTATTCGTATTAGAGTATGGAGGCGGGATCTGGTAGAATGAGCCTGATCACCG